AGTCAGATAGATTTCTTAGCTGACAAGGACTAATCATCTCCCAAACTACCTCACATCTCTTCTCTCATTTAAACTTTGTACCTGTGTGATACACGATACAGTAACTACTTATCCTTAGATAAGACTCCATATGAACGCACTAACCTCGGTAGAAATACTTTTAGGTGCTGTGCACCTTCGAAAATGGAATGAACTGCAAACTGCCCTCAAGTTAGAGTCCTTAATCTTTCTTGGCAATCTTTAACTTTATATGATTGATGAAATTGTTTTTACTAATTATGTGTTGTCTGTGGATATTTGTCTGGTTTTGGTTTCCGGTTGCATTTTTCAGATTTTTCTTCTGATCTTTTTTATATAGCTTCAAGCCATTAACAAGAACAACGTCTGGGTTCGTTAAATATCCTCCAGCATGACACTGATGTCTTTTTAGCTCTTTAATTCACTTGGGAAACCTCTCCAAAACAAAAACCAGCTGCAGGACGTCTGGATCAAAAATTAATTTATGAGCAGCTTATTTTTATTTATATTTATGATACTCATAACAACCTGGCAACAAAATGTTATTAATAACTTAAAAGCATTAGTAAATTATTTATTAATCATTAATGAAGCTTTATGCGAGAATGGTACCAGGTCAATAAAAGAAGAAAACCAAAGTAGCTGACTGCATCTTGTTAGTCAGGCAGTCTGGAGATAATTATACACTTTTCCATTAGCTAATTAGCCTACAGTCATTTGAAAAATAAAGTGATTCATTAAATTTACATTTAAATGATGCTAATCAGAAAACTACTTGCTAAAACGTTTTACAAAAGGTAATTATCTGTTCCAATTCAATTTCACTCTGTCAACCACACTAGCGGCTCTGTGCAGTGCTGCTTTGAGCTAAATTGCAACATTAGCATGCTAACACGCTCACAATGACAATGCTAACAAGCTGATGTCTAGCAGGGTTTTCTTTCACCCCTTTTGTTGAACTCTCAAGTTTATTCAATCAAAGAGGAGAGAGCTCAATTTAGAGAATGTATGAATACAGAACAAAGAATAAATAAGTAAAAGAAAACCAAGGTTGTCACAGTTTAGCAGGGTTACCGCTGTGACTATCTTAGTTTAGCGTATTAGCATGCTAACACTCGCTAACACAAAGTACAGCTAAGAAAATAGTTGTATGGGGTCATTATATCAGGTTGTTTTAACTTCAGCTTGAGATTGTAACAGAAAGCCTGCGTTACAAACTGGACGTGTAGAGTCTAAAGAAAAGTGAATTTACCAAGCAGGGAGGAAGTGTAAGTGTTGGACCGACTGAGATTACTGCCCCTGAAGCCGAGCTGCTAGTGTGGGTAAAAAAACGGTTTTAGTTGAGACTTTTGTTTTTGATTTGTTTGAGTTTTCTCTCATTTATCTCTTTCACGAATTTCCACAGCATCCATTATGTAATTTCAACACACAGCCTATCACACTAAAAACTAAAGGGGATCCAACCCACAGAGCAGCAACACAGGCGCTAATTGGCCAGCTGACAAAAGAGACTCATCCTCTCAAAGCTGCAAATGATGGCTTATTAAACGCATGAATTAACTCATTATAATTAACCACTGAAATGTGTATAATTATTCCGTGGCACGCTCCAGACTGCGCAGTTTGGTCTGGGCAGACTGGAGAATTTCTCCCCGGTCCAGCCACTTGACGTCAACATAATACTATTCAGCAGAATCCCAGAATATCTTGTGAAGAGTCAGTGGCGCAAAGAAGCTCAGGCCTGCTTTCTGAGGCACACAGGTCATGTGAAGAGCTGGTGCATTTGGCTCTGTCTGGTCTCTGGCAAGTTCCCAAGGTATTCCAGTCATGTTGGGAGGGGAATTCTTAAATAGCTGTGTCCTTGCTGTTAAAGCTGAGCCATGTATGGGATACTGCTGAACTACCATGGTAATCCCATTGAATTGTACATGTGTTTGGATTTGTGGTTTAAACAAGTTGAGCCAAAAGACCATCTGGGACCAAAAGGAACATACTGTAGGCACGGGACGGGGGAATGTCACGACTCAATCTGAAAAGGAGAGTTTTGCTCTTGTAGAAAGTAATGCAGCTGTGTGTGGGGGACTGGCTTCAGACGGAGGCTCAGGCGCCAAATACAGGATCTGATTCAAAGCCCTGAAACACTTGGCTTCAAATCTTAAAGAGGATCTCCACTGATTTCACACATTTAAGTGTGTGTACAGGGCTCGGGAGGTACTGCTGCATACGCGAAAAAAGTTGTATAAAGTTGTGGTTGCGGAGAAAACTATAAGTTTAAAAAAACGAACAAAATCTGTTGGTGGTAAGTTAGAAAGAAGTGAGCTTACCAGACCTTCGCAGCTTGCTCCTCACCCCTGCTTCGGCCCGGCACCTCCAGGCTACATTAGCCACTAACACAACACACCTGAATCTTCATTGTGAGAAATGAAGGCAGCAGATTTTGACAAGGTTGAAGAATACACGGGATAGTTTCCATCCAAATTTGGTGCAAATTTTAACCAATTTTTGGAGAAATTCCACAAAAGAAAATGCAATTAATGTGTGTTTCCATTCGCTATTAATATGTGAATATTAGGAGTTGGTTCAGCGAGATAATCAGCTGTTAGCACTAATTTCTGAGTTGGGTAAAATTTAACTATTGCAGGATAAGAGGGGACGAGATGAATTCATTAAAAGAGCTCCGGTCAAACCTCAAACAGCGGAAAACACTGTTCATTTCATGTATTAAGGTGAGGAAAGTTAGTTTCCCCCATCACTCTAACAAAGTTTGATGTTTTTGTCTGCTGCTATAGACTTCATGATTTAGTCACCAGGTCTGTTTCCATCGCACTTTTGAATTTTTGTCAACTTTTTTTTTTGTTATACTCAAATTCAAAATACACATAAAAACAGGTGGATGGAAACAAACTTAATATCTCTGGTTATGATGCAGCTGTTTTGATGTGCTAACTCTGTGCAGTATTTCTCTTCTGACTTTCTATGTACCATTAAATATTCATGACTAAATATGCAACATGTTAAAGTTTAAGTTTAGAGTTTAAGAGTTTCATAATCAAAATCAAAGTTTATCTGATTAATTTGGATTGTGTGGGTTTGGGAAAATTTAAAAGGTGTCAACATAAACTAAAAAATAAAAAAAACATAACCCCACAACTGGCATCACATTTTGATTCAAATACTGCTCGATGCTGATTGGTGCAGGGAAAAACATGACATCACCTTTTTTCTGCCGATCACAAATCAGGAAGAAAAGCAAGAACAAAAACACAAATACAGAAATCCTCTCATATGACAAAACTCCTAAGTTAATCAGAAACCAACAAACTCACTGACTGAAAAATAAAAAAATAAAAAGGTTTTCTGGGCCTTTAAGAAACTGAAAAGGTTCTGGTGTCTCCTCCCAAACCAACATGGTGCATCTGACTAAAGCCATGCTTGCTCCAGTGGAAGTCCTCAAAGGCTGTGGTTGCACTGGGCTCCTCCCAGCTGTGAATGTGACCTACAGTATGAGGGAGGGAAAGAGCACACACAACCAGTTAACCTTCCCTGAATAAATACAGATAAAAATTTAAAAAAAAAGAGGCTATTGTAAGTTCACTAATGGGAGCCATTCTCTTCTAACGTGACCAGACAAACACACTTGAGCTGTGTGTGTGTGTGTGGTAGCTGTAAAACAAAATGTGACTCAGTTCTTTCAGTGAAGTAGTAAAATTCAACCCTACACGATTTTGATTGATGCCACAGCTGCGAAACTATGCGCTGCTAAAGGAGCCGACTCTCCTGTACACCCCTGCATCTGTAGCCTGTAATTAATCATTAAGCCATATTCAGCCCAGCAGGCACGCTCCAGTCAAAATGTAAACAACTCCAAAGCATACAATATCCCTATTTAAAAACTCGTCCCAGGGGAGGCATGGGGGTTAAACGAAGGGTGTCTACTTCCTGCAGATAAGTGACAACCGCACTGAGAATTTTAGAAGTAGAGGAAATTATTTTGACAAGAGAGCTGCACAAACAACTCGATAACCCTCAACTACACGTCTGCCCGCCCTCAGATTAACACTCCACCGCCAGCTCGTGAGGCCGTGATGCCATGGGTTGTGTTTTTCTTTTTGTAATCTTTCCCGCCAAGGGCTGGCGTGCCCTCTGAGTAAAGTCTGCTTTGTCTAGCAGGAGACCGCCGTCGTTCAAGTGGAGACAGGAGACAACGGGCTTGGCAGCTTCCTCAGAAAGCAATGACATCATGTGATTCGTGGACAATCATTACACTGTTGGTGAATCTGAGGAGGTGCGGCAGTTTCTCTGCTGAAAAGTCACTCATCCATTTATGGTTATTCGCCTCATGACGGCCCAATATCCTGTCTTTTTAATTAATACAGAACTTTTTCTGCCTTTGCTGTGCTTTCACTTTTAAAATGTTCTTGATATCTGCCTGTATGATAAGAGTTTAATGACAAACTGACAGGATCCAAACAGTGGATATCACGGCAGCAGCTACTATTGATAAAAGGGAGGTCATGTTTTTTTCCACAGTTAAAAGATTAAACATGGTGGGCGCTCAATCGGTTGATTCCATTGTTTCTATATGAAACATATTCAAACTTGATTACTTAACAAAATAACAAAATAACATAGATAAATGACTGAGAATTTGTCCAGAATAGCACATCTGGACCGTTTAGAGAAGTTTTCAAACATCATTTAGATCAATATGTTGCTGTATGACAAAATAAAAATAAAACAAATTGCTTCGTCTCTGGAGAACATGTTAGTAAACTTTACTGTTGTTGAACATTATCGCAAACAATTTTTTTTTTTACTGTTTTGCTGATAGTTTTGTATCAGCTTAGGGCAAAAAGTGCAACTGCAAGGAGCCTTAGACTGCTCAGGAAAATTATCTTTAAAGCTACTAAGCATAGAAAATAGCTGAAGTCAAAGAGCTTTAAGTTGTACATGTAATATTTAAAGTTTATTCTTGAGTTTGGAAACAGTAGTCGACAAAACAAGGTCATATCACACGGTCTTCCTCCGCAGACGGGGTTTTGTCCAGTTGTTAAGTCACTGTAGATTCTAAAACTCACATTTTTCTCATGATGATGTTGTTTTGTCAAAGTGTAGTTCTGTGAAGAATGAACTTTCAATGCCAATATTTAACCAGTTTGGAAGAGACGTGAACATCTACATATAATTCCATTATATCTGAGCAAAAAGATCAGAGGATATGACTGAAAGCTGGAGAAAAGCTACTAAATGGACCTTGCTTGCTTTGTCACCTGCTTTCAACACATTTTTCAAGAGACTTCGGTTCTGTATTTTCCTTATGGTATCCGTGTAGTTTTTTTAAATGAAGGACATGAACTATTTGTAATGAAACTCTCTCTGACATTTTGATCAAATGTTGTGATTCTGAGTGACGTTAATGTTTAATTCAGAGTCAGACTGATGACAACAGCTGAGACTGTTCTCCTACTGAAAGCACAGACGGCCATTTGGTTCAGTCAATAACATATTCTCCTCTGGTGGAAACTGGTTGCTCAGGGTCACGGCCAGATGAACAGGCTTCACGTTTATTTCACAGGAGAGTTGACTGTTGCCACGGCAACTTGGTTTAGTACTTGGTACCCGGAGGACTCAAAATCTGCAATAAAACGTTTCATCGTTTCAGATGGACTTATGATAGAATATGTAAAAACTTTTCTCCAAACAAACCAAACTCTGAATGAGCAAAAGCTCAGGAAGACGTTGTGGCGTTGTCACTGGAGAACAAATTATTCTTTAATTGCAAGAAAACATAAGCGAGCTGACTTGTAATGGTACCCAAGGGCTGGATAATGAGACAAAAAAAAAAAAAAAAAACAATCGGTGGAGACACTGAAAGCATCATTTCAATGCACAGCTTAAACAAATGGTACTCCTCAGGATTTCTATGGAGACACAGTCAATTCTTCAGGCACCCTGAAGGAGTCTCGGCGGAGAATCTCGTAAAAAATGAGAATAAGCCCTATCAGATTAACACTCAGTGTGAAACCGTAGAAATTAAAACGCTGCAAAGCCTTTGTCCTCCATAAGACCTTTTTTTTTTTTTTTTCTTTTTTTTGTTGTTGTGGTTGGAGGCGCTCCAAATCCTGGGTGGAGCTTTCTGCAACAACCAGAGCGTGACTGAGAAAGAAACACTGATTCTGCATGAAAGTAAATGAGTAGCTGTTGCATTTCACTTAAAATACCATTGTTATCAACAATATTTACCTTATGTTTTATATTTCCCATCTTTTAATGTCATCTGTGGTTTGACCTGAAGAACGATGACAAGGTCGAAATCATTTGTTCTGCAACAAAAATTAACCACACTTTCTTTTTTAGCTGCTTAACCTCTTCTGCTCTTAAGCAGTGCAAGCTCATGTGTCACACGACAACAAGACGCAAAATGAAAAAGCTGAGTTGCAAAAACCCATAGAAAACCCACTTTCTAAATGAAGTCTGTTAACAAATGATGTCGTCCTCAGATGAAGAGATGTGTTATTATGTTTTTAACTTCTTTTCTGAGGGTGAGGACCCTGATTCTCCCTCCTCTGATCCCACATGAGTCCGTTTCAGAGCGCTCTGTGCTGGGCCTCTTTCTCTCCGTGGCCGGGTGTCTCCAGGTGTGACGCCAGTCTCTCCCTCTGAGTCTGAGGAGACATAGAGGTTCTCGCTCACGTATGACGCCACAGTCCGGTGCTGCCCGTTCACTCCGGGGCTACGTCGTCGGCTCTGGGAGTTACTGTCTGCAGCTGCTGAGCTGCTGCACGCCTCTCCGCTGTCGGAGCTGTCTAGAGCCGGCTCTGTGGCAGCCCTCCCTTCAGTCCTGTGTCTGTCCAGCGACTGAAGAGACGCAGCTGGACGTCTTTCCAGCTCAGTCCTGTCACTCCCTTCCTCGTTCTCTTGGCTCTCGGGGGACATTACTGGGCTCGAACACACAAAGTCAGAAGGGCTCAGACATTTTTCCTCTTCTCCGGCGCCGCCAGTTTGGGGCTTGATTTGGAGAGAGTTCTGTTCCTCGCCTGACGAGGAGGAAGACAGGTCATCGATTGAGATTGACGGGTAACTGCAGGAGTCAATAGCTGAAAATAAAGCCTGCACAGACTCGGGTCGATCCCCGGCTCTGGAGACCACATGCATGCGTCGTCGCCTCATGACATTGCGCCGCCTCACCGCGCTGCGCCGCTCCTCGTCATCGCTGCTGGAGCTGGAAGTGGAGGTGGAAGAGCTGGAGGCTCCAGCAGGAAGTGAAGGGGAGGAGGCGGGGCTGGACAGCGTGGAGTTGTCCCTGGGGCTCGGGGAGCGAGGGCGGGGCATGGGGTCGAGCCAAAACTCGCTCGAGTCAGAGTCTTCGTTCACCAGAAAGCCAGACTGATGCCGCTGATGCCTGCTACGTCGCCTGGGCCGCTCCTCCCCCTCCGCCCTGGCTTGCTCCTCCCCTCCTGAGGCGTCAGGTCCAGCCAGAGAGGAGGAGGACGAGTTGTCAGAGTCGCTGTGGTGACCGGCGGTCGTGGTCGTGGTCGTGGTCGTGGTTGGAACCGTTATTGTGGCCCGCGTAGTGCGGCGTCCGCGCGCGTGGAGCTGCATGATGGCCTCCTCGCTCAGGTCGCTGTCAGAGTCCGAGCTCCAGCCCTCGATCTCTCGACGCACCAACGAATCAAAGAACGCCATCATGCGCGGGTCCTCCTGGATGGACTGGCTGACGTAGTCATGGGACAGACCGCTGCCGCTGTTCAGCACCAGGCTGATGTACTCCTCATGGGTGTAGAGGCTGCGTGATTTGTCCTCCACGCGGCCCTCCAGGTCACCCAGACTGTCAGGCTGCTGGTAGGGACTCCACACCTGCAAACACGAGGGAGAAGTGGGTGGAGGAATGAAGGAAAAGAAAGATGAGGAGATAAAAGAAAAGAAAAAGGAAAGATTTAAAAGGTAGGAAAGATGGGAAGACAGAATGACAGAATGACAAATGGATGGAGAAACAATGAGGAGCCAGGAGGAGAGCGGAGTGGCCCCGCTCAGTCTGAAAGATTCCCTGTTATTGATAGTCTCACTGCAGAACACCTGGGCCTGTATCACCTTTCACTCTGTACAGTAAAATGTACAAAACACAGAGCTTGTGTTACTGTACCGACAGAAAAGAAGCTGCAGCGATTGTCAATGTCAATGAGAACAGTTCTTCTACCGAATGGTATTTTTTTTAAAACAATATTTATGTGGACTTAATTATTCTAACTAAAAAAACACTAATTTTAATAACCTTAAAAAACAAAGTGTTGCTCTTTTAATGTAAGTGGAAATCCTGCTGCTTCATTTAGCAATTAAAACACATTTTATTCATATATTTGTACAAATATATCCACTGAGATGAAGCACAGGCAGTATGACAGAAAGCTGAATACTGGAAAGAAATTGCCTTTATGATGATTCATATTAGGTGTCTTCAGTCATTAAACAGGCTACGGTCTGCAGAATGATGTCTAATGGAAGTTGGCATACCATCATGGAAACATGGCAACAAGTATTAGATGTTAATAAGCTGATGTTGAGCCCGTAACATTTTGAGCTGTCGAGCTGAACTGATAGAAAAGATCGACCGAGGGGAGCGGACTGCTCCACTGATACGAGGAAATATTAGCAAAACAGCACGTGTTGTGTTTCCATGAGCACAGGCGAAAAAAAAAATAAAATAAAATAAAAAATTACGACTGATGATGTGAAACCGAGTCAGTCAGAAATTGTTGAGACATGAGCTTCAGATGCTGCCTGGTTTATTCATGAGGTCAGGACCGGGACAGAACAGTGACTCAGACAGCCGGCAATGAATGAGACTAATAATACAGGAATCCAGCTGCTGTGTGCTACCATTGTTATTCAAACAGCGTAAAATCTTAATGTTGTGAGTGTGTGTCTGAGTGTGTGTGTGTGTGTGTGTGTGTGTGTCTGAGTGTGTGTGTGTGTGTGTGTCTGAGTGTGGGGTTTTTTCTTTAAAGCCAACAGATCAAAACAAACATCTTGAAAAGAACAAGATTTTTACCACATGTATTATATCAAGATCCAGTTTTTCTTATTTTAATTACAAAATAAAACTTTTATGCTTCTACAGCTATTTGTGTTTGATTGAGGCTCTATCATTAAACTGCTGAGACTTTAGAAAGGCAGAGTCTGGTTTCAGAAACACGGTATCCGTCTCTCCATGACCCGCTTTTTCGTGAAAACTGACCAACTTCATCCGTTACAGACGACAGTCACTGATCGAGGAAATCCATCCTCTTTTTTTTTCCTTGCCCGCCCCACAGAGGAAGTCGGAGCTCAATCAGTTACTGTGCAGTGTCACTTGAGATCAATGTCTCACTTAAGGGCCCGTCTGCTGTCTCAACGACTGAGGTCACGCAGACTCGAACGCCGGACGGTCCACTTACAGAACAATTCCTCTAACCACTTCATCATCCTGCTGCGGCTGCAGACAGATTTACCTCTCTGTAACACAGATTTCTTTACCATCTTGATGCTCCTTTACTCACCTTGATGACTTTCTCCACGCCGGAGGAGCAGATCATGTAGGTGTGAGGGTTGAAGCGGACCTGGTTCACTATGGAGCGGTGACCCTTCAGGACCATGAAAGCCCCGTTCACCACACGACCAGGGCCTCCTTAAAAAAAAGGAAAAACACAACACGGGTTTCTTGATGTGACACAGGCAGATATAACACATAAGCTCAGGGTCACAGAGATGGAAGAAACTGACAATGATTCATTAAAACAAACACATTCAGCTGTAAAAGCCACAATCATTCAATCTGCTTCTGGACCTTAGAAGACATGAAAATACGGCGTGAGAAATACAACGGTCGTAACAGCAGTAATGTAATCCTCATAATATGCCATTAGTCTGACACCAAATAGGCCCAGTGCACATATTTTCTGTGTGAGTAACACGAGGGAAAATGAAATCCATAAATGTGTCATGTGGTGCCACGGAGCTACAAACAACCTCATTCTTGGATTATTGCATTTTGGGGATTTTCTTCCCAGATTAATTAGAACTAATAGACTTGATTCTTAGTTTTGAGTTGGTTTGAGCAGGTGGAAACTTTCAAACTCAAGAAGAAAAAAAAAAAAAAAATCTGTGCAGTGTAACACAAGTGAGAATTGAACCTGAGCTGAGACTTCAAAATGGAAAAAGTATCGTGTCTGGAAAGTGTATTGTGAGCAAACGGAGGGCGAACAACAGTGCGGGTTGAAGCTCTTCTATAAAGAGCACAGAGAAGTCTATTGCGTTTACGATTGTGGTTAAAAGCCACAACAACTGAAATCAGGTTTGTTTTGACTTCCCTGACGCCACTGAAATCTGTAACCTTGCAGTTTAAAAAAAGGGTCACAAAAACAAGCTCCTTTAAAGTCACGATGCGTTCACTGACCAGCGCTGCTTCGCCGATGACGACCAGTGTGAACTTAAACAAACCAAATACACAAAGAAGAACGAAATGTTCCACTGTTGCCAAGAATAGACAAAGGAAAATTTACTATCTCATCTTGGGAACCAGATGCTTCTTTTGTCGCGTGGAGATGCACAAATTAAGGTAAATCACTTCCTTCACATCAACATTCAGACACATAAATACACAGTCAGCGCGGACAGATTCAGTAACGCACCTGCTTCTGGATCCTTTGGGATTTTCCACATGTAGAGGTTGAAGTCGTCCGACCCAGACAAGATGTACTGAGGGGTCAAACAGAGGGATTTTAGAAAGAGGAAATCTTTATATATGCGTATACAGAGAGACAGACCCCGAGGGGGGAGGGGTGGGGGGGTGGGGTTCAATGTAATCGCCGTGTCTCATAATGTGCGATCAAACACGCTCTTGACATGACATGACGGTGTGACCCTAACACAGCTCCTGCTCCTCCACTGAACTTCTATTAGACTTTGTAAACAGATGGTTCCACTTAAAGCTGTCACTTGAGGTAAGTTTTGACACAGCCAGAGCGGGGGATGTTCTTTGTTCTTACAAATACTTACGCCCTGAAGCGATAGGTCGGGAAAAACTAGAATTACCACCTCGCCGTTGTGTGCCACCGGCCAGCCAATCATGGCTGCAATTTACATTCGTGTCTGTCCAGACTCATGTTACACACGTGGTGAAGACTCAAGAACAATTAAATAAAGAGGTATTTTGTCATAGTTAGCATATTAAATCTTGGGTTATGGCCCACTGACCTTGACCTTCCTTGAGTTTATTAGCTCAAATCATTAGCTGGTTATACAGTGGACGTTCACAAGCTTTAAAATACAAAATATTTCATGTGAAAAAAATATGTTGTCCCGTCTCTTCCCCCCCTCTGTTCTTTCCTTTCTTCTAGCATATTTCCTTACTGTTTGTCAAGTATTATTTTACCATCTGGCGGCACATTTTTTTTCAAGTCATTAGCGTTTGTTTCTAGGCGCTGTCTTGTGCTGCTGGTTTCCTGACGTTGAGTAAAGTTGTGTAGTATCTTTGTGGCAACGATTTAAACAAATGTCTTCAATTTCCCTCTGTAAATATTCTGCTGGTCTCTGTAGGTACATTTGTCTTTCAACTTCACTTTTCTACCCCATATTCTAGACGTTTTTTGTTTTTTTTTTCCATTTTGTGAAAAAATAGCAATCCTCATGTCTTCATCTAAACGGCGACCTACATAAAAACACTCTGCGGTGCTGAAAAATCATTATTCCTCAGACGCAGACTGTAACTGGGATCGGTTTAGCTCGAGGGGCACGTGAACACACCGTGAACAGAACACCTGTGTGCTCCGCCTCAGGTTCCCGGGGGACACGTCAAGGAGGAATGTCACACCCGTAACGCCCTCTCTCTTTCCTTTCCATCAATTTCCTCTGGTGAGTCGCCACTCTGCGGCTCTGCTCCCACACCAGTCTGAGAAAATCCTCTAATACTTGTGGTTGTGCGTCTGTATGCGGAGGTTTTCTGAGAAGTGGAGTGCTGTGAGATGAGGCTCCTGATTTAACATGTGAAATCATCTGGTCATGTGATATGGTTTCTCCGAGGCCTCCTCTTCTCAACTGTGCTCTATTACTACACCCCCCCCCCCCCCCCCCCCACACACACACACAATAAAAGTAGAGACATAAATGTATGTGCAGTATGTCAAGGGAGTACAAATGGGTGGTGTGAATTAAATTATCACAAGATACACAGTCAGTTTATATGGATATATATTGTAATACACTGTAGAACATTTTGTTTAAAATCGCTCACTGGAAATGATAAACTGTTTATGGACAAAAAATATAGACGTGTCTGTTTGACTCATTCTGTTAATTAAATATCTGACAAATCAAAGCATTTCATCACACTGATCCAAGAATCATAAAAACACCAACGTTCCCATAAAGCAGTCCTGTTCATCGAGTTACATATATTGCCCTCAGAGGTTCATTTCAACCAGATATATTGATGACGTTTTATAAAATGTCTTCTGCAGCTTTGCAATACAACAGTCATTATTAAATCAATAATAATCATGTAACAGTAACTCAATACCAGGCTGAAACGCAGTGTTTCAGAGTCCGTTGCACCTCTGACCACACCAAACATCACTGCAGGGTGTGGATGGATGAGGTCAGACATGTGCTCTGTTTCATCTCTAACCAAAACCACTGGTGATGTCACAGCGTACCAACACACCCTGCAAGTACACTTCTACATCACTGCCACAAGGTGAGAAGTTTAAACCACTTTAAGTTCAACCCTCGACCTTCAGTGGCTTTAGATGATCTGAGCGACGTCCAGCTCATCATTTCATCATCCACATCCGCACACTGGACTTGCACATGTTGACTAACTATCATTATCTAATCTGACTCATCCCTCCCAAAGCTTCTCCCACAACTTGCAAAAGAACGTTCGTTAACAAAACATTAGGCCGTTTGAAGTAGTTTGACGGAGGTCCAGCAGAGGGAGCTCTTAAAAACAGCTCAACCTGTTGCCGCCCTATCGACCTATCAGTAAACTAAGCTAATAAATAAAAATAAGAGGAGGACACTGGTTGGACAAAGCTGTGTTGATTGGATCGTCATAAGTCGGCAGCTGAAAAGCAGTGTGTGGCAGTATTTTGAGTTTCTTCAATGTAGATGTCAAAATTACCAACAAAGACGACTTTGTAAAAAAAGTCACATTACTCTACAACATCAGCAGATCAGAGTTCGAATTTGACTTTTTGTGGCAGCTCTGGATGAAAACGTTTGACGATACGAACGTGAACACGAATTCAAAAGACTGGAACCATCGCTGCAGAAGAACTGCATGTAGGTTATTAATGTCTTCTACAGCTGTGAAAGCTTGTTTACATCGGTAGAAAATAGGTCTGTACATTTAATTATTTTCATTTTCATGTTTCAGTCAGATTCAGTGATATAAGTTCATGAATATGCTGTTTAGGCCTTTAACAATGCACATGCATCGATTGCCACACAAGAGCTGAGTGCTGATTATACTGCAACAAGAAACCATGAGGGATGTTAATCAGTATGTCTTTTCTTATACAATTACGTACATGTAGACCTTAAAAACATAAAGTTTTATTACGACACTCAAACACATGTAGGACCCACTGATCAATCAGAGATCAGTGGTCTTGCTCAGAAGTCCCTCAGCGATGCAGTTTTTCTGTCCACCTTTGCAGCAGGTGAAGAGATTCACACCGGTGACCTTCCTCCACAGTCCTGACCTGATTCTGTGACCTTTAAACCACCGCCTTCACTCATGTAGGGGGAGGATCATCGTTAAGCCTTCGTGAGCTCCACTGACACCCGAGGATAATGTTAACATAATAAACATGACTGTGGGGTGATGTCATGTCTGAGGAGGACCAACGGGACGACTATTGGCTGAGTGCATCGGCTTCTGGTGTTCCTCCAACGCTCAGAAGTTCCAATTTCAGAGAAGCAACTAATATATTCTATTTTTATTGCTTTTATTGATCCCACATGTTCCCAATATTCCTCTTAAGTTTCATTCTAAGTAACCAGAAAGTCAGATAAAACAATATCTCCACTGTTCCACATCGTTTCTATATATATGTACATGTGTCTGCCTGCTCTATCAGAAGCTAAATCACACTCTTGGGTGCAATATATTAAGAAACGCTGCTTTTTATGGCTGCACATGTACATGAAATGGAAATTCTTAGATGTCTTGTGTAACGTTTCATACATACAGTGTTTTTCCCTGTATGTAAAGTTGGTAAACCCAATATTTTATAAATGTGTTAACACTTATTTAACCAGGTTTCTAATATATTCTTATAGTAGTAATAGTGTTAACGGTAGTTTTAGTATTTTGATTCATCTGATGACCAACCTGATCTTTGTCCCCGGCGAAGCAGCAGCTTTTCATGGTGCAGGAGTTGAAGTAGCCCTGGTTGTCGAACTGGAAGCTGGGCAGGCGGGAGTGCAGCTCGTAGAGGACGGGCGGCAGGCGGCGGCGCAGCGCCAGCAGCTGCGTTCCGGTGCTGTTGAAGCGAACGCTCATGGCGCTCTGCAGGGACATGCTGCCTCCATAACGCAGCAGCGAGCTGAGAGAAGAAGGAAAGAAAATATTATGAACAATATGCACCAATCCTCGCTTTTTAACGGTCCTATATTGTAGTTAGTGAGATTTCCATAACTTTGTAATGTCACACTCAAAAAGTGTAAAATATGGGACCTTTAAATCTGCCTAAAGCGAGAAGAGCATCCTGCCAAAACTGTGTGTAAGTAACAGATTTGGGGTTAGTTATTGTATCCATGTCACTGCGAAACATTGTGAACTGAATTATAATGATTCTGCTTTTCATTAGTGGAAAATTATTTATGTAGTTTAGAAGAAGAAAGTTGTTGTGCCATTTATTTATGACTGCATCACAAGGCATAAATGAACAGAGGATGATGTTTCCAAAGAAGCTTTGAGGGAAGCTTAAGTGAGATGTTAATAAACTCCATCTCCATCCTTCTTTGAAATTATCAGTTATAAATAATAAAACGAGAGAATCAAAACATGAGTTTTCTAACACATCTGGATTTAAGTTTGGATTTCTCCCCGACTCCAATAACTAAGAAATCACTGGTCGGCCTCACACACTGGTCAGGCTGGAAAATATGGTTTCTCAGTATTGATGTTCCAGGGGTTTTCTTTTTTTCAAATACTCTGAAGCCTTGTAAAGCATTTTACAAAACAAAAAGACTAAATGTCATCCCATAAAAACTCTCTGATTCACCACATAACATCATCAGAAGATCCACTGTAATGTGAACATGTCTGCAGCGTCGCAGATCAAGAAGTATTTCATCAAAGAGGTATTTAATTAAATAAACCTCAGCTGGAAGCTATTTTTAATCTTAATGGTGAACTGAGAGACTTTCTACTGAGTAAGTGTAAACATAACCACATAGCAGAGAAGCAGGGCCAACAGTGGAGGAAGAGAAATGACTCAGTGCTTACTTTTTCTGGACATGCCGTCATTTGTGCTCTAATAACTGAGACCTAAGTTAACCTGAGTATGTGTAAACACACACTCGGCACAATTCAGTGTTTTCACGGAGTTATTCTATTGATATAAAAACATTAGTTTTTTTGCAGTTGGATGAGGAGCAGCGGTGAGGAGTTTAACAGGAGGACAACAGCGCCACCTGCTGGATATGAGCCGGACAAGCAGCGTCACAAGAGCAGAGGAGGATGTTTCGCTCCTCTTGGATTAAACGCATTAAACACTGATCTGTGGTTAACTATCGTGCAACTGCAAAATGATTGTGCTGATACAGATCAATAACAAACTGACTGACAGTCCAAAGTTCAAATTAAATATTCTTGAAGTGACAGGAGGGGAGCCAAGTTCTTTAGTAACACAATCAATTCACATGTGCACACTGGATCTTCTCTGTTGTAGAGAAATGACGCAACGACTTTCAGGTGATTTTCTTTTTATCAGTTTGGATTATGTGTTTAACCTTGTAACCTCGTGTTCAATTAGCTGCTTGAATGTTACATTTGCTTACTATTGTTTCTAGGTAATTTAAAACAAAAGATAATTAAAACAAATAATGGATATAATAAAAATGTATATCATATACGAAATCAAGATGTACACAATGCACATTAATGCACGGACATAAAAACATTTTCTGACACTTTCTAAATGTCTACAGTGGTTAAATAAACAACTACATACATTTACAAAAGCTCACAATTATTTTACTCTATTTTACTCCAGTTGTTTTTACTGTTTTATTATTTTTAATAACACTTATTGTTCTCCATGTTTTTATTATCTCTGTGGTTCACTTTACTGCTGCTGCAATAAATATTAACTTCCCCACGGAGAACAATTAAGTTTCATCTTATCTTGAATATTGAGCCACGAGTTTATTTCACCTGTGTGCAGCGGCTATCTCACTGAGCTGCTGCAGCTCAGCCTTTCTACACTGAGTTTGCTTTTGATAAATCGCCATCAATTGTAGAAAGTTCTGTTAACTTATTGACATAATATAATTATAGCCTCCATTGTTTCTGCTGTGATTACATAGTAAACATGTAGCCTCCATTTTTTTTATGTATGTGACATATTCAGATGCAGTTTATACACTGAAACTAAAGCGAACGGTGTCAGTTATGTGATGTTGCTGGTATGAAGTCAATATGAAATGTCCACAGATCAGATCTCTCGCCGCTGCTCCAACCCTTTAACATGGACGCCGGAATGAAAACCGGTTAACATGGTGACCGTCACACACGGGCGAGGGAAGCGGTGCGACATGAGTCTACGAGACAGAAAGCAGGGAGCAAAAGTCTAACCTGCGGGGCTTGCGGATGTCCCATAATCCAACTCCCTCCTTGGAGTTGGCGGTGGCGAGCAGCCTGGGCTCCACAGGGTTGAACATCACACTGTGGAAGGCCGAGGGGTAGCTGGCCAGGCAGAACGGCTCTACAGGAAGAGAGGTTAAAAAACAAACAATAAAAAGACATGAGAATTACAATTATAAAAAGTGATGGATCTTTACAGCTGTTTTGGTTTCTCCCAGATTCTCCCAGAAAATCACCTTTTTTGTATTTACTCATCCTAATCCTTTACATTTTTGATTACAATAGAATTGATAATGAAGCGCCACTTTTAAAACATTTATTTTTACATTCATCCTTTCAGTCTGGGCCTTCACTGCTGCAACGCGCCGACATTAAAAGCCCGCTGGCAGAAATGGAAGAGCAGTTACTACTAATGTATTATTAGGTCAACCTGGTCACAAGGAAGGCTTCCAAAATAGAAGGACTTGGACGTCATGCAAGATGATCCACTGCATTTTTAAAGATATCAACGAGTCTCACTAGGTCCAGTCACAAAGTGCTATGCACACATTTCAGTCCAACAGAGCCACTTAGAAAACACTGTGTGTGTCCGCCTATGAGCAGCTTTTTAATTGCACCGACAGACGAGCTAAGAGAGGGCACGCTGTAGATACAAGCTCTGACTGCGCCTCATAATTATATTATCACTGAGACGACTGCAGAGGTTAATCTTCTTTTCATAGAGTTAATTTTATGGACTGATCCACATCCCTTTTTCCAGCCGGAGCACCAATCGTGCAAGTTATTAATTTATCTTCCAGTGCAGGAAATTTGATCAGCTGCAGCCATGTGATTTGAATTTTTTTCTATGACAACTTCTTAATCCGTCATAAGCCATCCTGCAGTACTGAGATTCAGACTTTCAGAAATCAGATCCTTGGTGTTTCATTTAGATCTGCAATAAAGCAACTGTTCAATGAGCTGAATGTGAGAAAATGAATAAGTAACTATTCATCGTTAATGTTGATTGTTTTTTAAGAAAAAACCTCCGACTCGTCTCTGATTCCTGTTTCTCCAGTGAGGATTTGCTTATTTTCTTTGTTTAGTATCAGTGTAAGGTGAATATCTTTGGGTTTGGGCTGTTTGTCACGGACAACATGACATTTAAAAAGACATAACGACATCACATACAGAACGGAGGCTCTGAGGATAGAGGGGTGTCAATGTCAAGTTCGTGAGTTGTACAAGGAACATACACGGCTCCTCCACTCACCTCCGTGTGGCGGCTCGCGAGTGTCCCAGATAAGAACCCGTCCGTCGTCAGATGAGCTGGCAAACACATTGTCATTCACGGGGCTGACAGACAAGCTGTACACGGCGTCGATGTGCAGGAACACGTTCAGAGTTTCCCTCCTGCAGAAGCAACATTCATCCAAATATTAAATAGTAAATAAACACATCAACAGTTTTTCATGGCTTGAAGTGTAATCAATATGTATTAATCGTGTCATTTTACTCACCTCTCCACATCATGAAGAATCACCTGTTCATCATTTCCTGTAAAACAGTAAACAGACGAGTTGTGAAGTGAAGGAGCTCGGGTGTGTATTTTTATCTTCAGCCTCGATGCTGAGATGCAAAACAGCCTTTTTCCTCAGGTGTGCAGTAGATAGTGGGGTTTGTTAATTATTTATCGATGAGTTACTAAAGCCTTACAGCACTTTACAGATACTCTAGATTCATTTGCATAGAAGCTAGACAGTGGTCAGTGAGTAGCACTCAACATGTGTCTCCAAAACATTAGAATTCAGCAGCTGCAGCATCGTAGAAAATTTTTTCCTTTTTCCATCCATAATTTACATTCAACATCAAATATGTGCAATTGATTAACTACAGTTTCTGCAACCACTTAATGCACAAAAAGTACCAAGCAAACATTTTATCTAGAATCTTAACTAGTCTGTTGTGGATGGCGTCTTCCCAGTCCTGTTTGCCCTCAGATTTATTTATTTATCTTAACATTTATTCCACTGCTCCGCACCTGCAGTGTCTCTAATGTCAGTGCTTTCGGTGTTTGTCATTTGCCGTTTGCTCTGTTGTTTGCTGCACAAAGTTTTCTTATTTAATCAGATTTACCTTTGACCTCCAACCCCCCTCATCCCACTGATAGTTCTGCAACAACACTTGCATTTCCACAGCTCAAGGTCTAAAAAGAGGAAAAGGTTCTAGTTGTTGTGAAAACGTCAGCAGAGACCAGACAGGGATTTTCTCTCTCTCTTACCGCCAGAGAAGACCTTTTTGTTGGTGCTGTCGAAGGCCAGGCAGAAGATGTTGGACAGGTGTTCCCCCTTCAGTTTCACAGGCTTGGACCGAGCATGAATGGCTTTCTCCATGTGCCACAGCAGCACCCGGCGATCATCTCCTCCTGCAGACGTGGACAAATGGATTTACACCACAAGCTTCACGACAATGCAAAGAAGTTCAATCAAACACTGATGTTCCCTTCACAGATTGGTTCATTTTAATCATTTCTACAGGCCTGTGGATGTAGAACTACAATCTAGTCTACTAATTTATTATTGGGTCGACATAAAATAAATAAACAGTTATTGCAGCAGGTAGTAAAAACAGCTCAGTGGACTGTCGGCTCCCGACTCCCAAACCTGACTGAATTACAGCATTTTTATCTGACTAAGATTTTACAATTATTTATTATATTTTTTTTACAGTTGTATGCAAAGGTTTGAGCAAATGACATATTTTGTTGATTTTTGAGGTTAAAAAAGAAGTAAACACAACAATCCTGCAGCAAACAGCCATTAAAATGAGCCTTTCTTCAAATGTTAAAACAGTTACTTTTCATTTCATTAATGTAAAAACAAAAACAGTGGTGGCATGTGCAAAAGTTTGGCCACCTTACAAAGTCAGCGCTTACTGCTTACTAACAGATGTCACAGCCTGCAAACACGTTTTGTAGCCAGTTAAGAATCTTTCTCTTCCTGACTTTTGAATTTTCAGCCTTTTCCTGCCGATCACTTCAAGTTCTGAGATATTTTTAGGCTGTCTTGCACACTCAGCATGTTTAAGATCTACCCACAGACTTCCAGTGATGTTCAGGTCTGTGAGGGCAGCTCAGAAAGCTTCAGCTCGTGTTCCTTGAAGTGGTTCCTGGTGGATTTTGAGGTCTGCTGAGGATCATTGTCTCATTGTTGAAGCCAGCCTCTTTTCACATTCACTTGCTTGACTGACTCCAGAATATTTCCATCCAGAATTAGCTGATATTTAGTGGAATCCATTCTTCTCTCCGTCGGTGCGATGTTTCCTGTGCCACTGGCTGCCACACAGGCCCAAAGCAGGACAATTCCACCCCCATGTTTAACAGTTGTCAATTGCAGGTGGGGTGGGGGATGGGGTGGGGTGACTAAGTACTGACAAACTTTGCAAACACATGCCATAATTATTGTATAATTTATTTATTATTTATTCTCTTATTTTATGAAATAAGAAGCGTCATTTTTAAATAAAGGCTCTTTGTTAATGTCTGTCTGATACACAGGTTATATTTACTTTTTCCACCTTAAAATTCAAATCAACAAAATGTGTTATTTGCCTGAGACCTTTGCATACATCTGTGGACTGAAACTGTATATCTTTCAGTCATAGAGGTTGCAGAGTCAATGAGGTGCATCTGCATTGTTTTATTTACCTGGTCAGGTGGAGCCATGCTCATATGTTTAAGCAAACTGCAGGTCTATTGTGCAAAGCAGACCAAAAATGACAAGCCTCAGGCTGCCACACTAGGCCAGATGATTGTTTTTTAATCCTCTCAGGACATAAATAGCTTTGCGATTCGAGGAGGAAGCCATGATTAGACGCATCGGAGCGGTAAATGTGCGCTTCAGCGGGCACAGGGCTCATGTTATGCACTGACATATGGGACTGGTCCGGGGCTGCTGCTGCCCTCTGAGCCGCTGGCTGTTTGGTTTTGACGTTAGCTAGTTAGCAGGAAAGGCTAGGCTAACTTAGCATAGCCAGGAGGGTTACAGCTGACTGCCTGGCTATGCTAGCGTGTAGCATGCTAACAAATTAAAACAGTGTAAGCTAGGGGAGGGAGGATTTGTCAACTTACCAGACACCAGCCATTCCCCGCCGTTGTTGGAGAACTCAATGGCGTTGACACAGCCGAAATGTCCGAGCATATCCTTCTTGTAGAGGCTGGTGCAGCCGGCCAGCCTGCGTCTCTGGAATTCCTCCTTCATGAGCGGCTGCCCGGTCAGCTCTCTGCGGGACAGAAAGCCCACCGAGGACCGCATACCGCAGCCCTTCAGCTCCTTCATTTTCACCACGCAAAAAAAAATTAAAAAATTTCAAAAAATTTTCAAAAAAAAAAAAAAAAAAATACGACCCGCTTCGCCTTTGTTTTCACTACTGCAACCTGGACACCTGCTCGTGTTGTTGGGTGGATGTGGTACACGGCTGGGTCTACATTATGGTGGATCCCCCGGTGGCTGCTGATGTCGACGTTGTTTCGTACCTCCTCCGTCCCTCTCGGCAGTCCCGGCAGCAGCTTCCTGCTCCGGCGGAGGATCTCTCTCTCTCCCCCTGTCTGTCACTCAGCATCACCAGAGACACGGCTCCACTTACTTCACGTTTACACGCCACAAGCTTCAATTTAATGTTTCTCCATTTTACTGAACCAGAGCCAAGCAGTTTTCTGCCAGAGGTCTGAAGAGTGAACGCACTGAAATTCACCAATATTTACATTTTTAGGGTCAAACTAAACTGCAAAATATAAAACTACATTTTGTGCTACTTTACTTATACTCAACTACATGTATTTGTCAGCTAGTTACTTTATTTTGCTGACTATATATCTATATGATGCATTGTTATATAGTTGTGTGCAAATAAGTAAATGCAACTTCTGCAGCAAACAGACTAAAAATTATTCAAATGTTAATCCACTGGGGGTATGTGCTAAATCAGTACTTAGTAACTTCCCCTTTGCCAGCTGTTAAGTAGGTGGTGAGGAAACTTTGGGTTGTATGACATAAGTGGAACAGGAAACACTGCACAGATAGCAAGAATAATCAGACACAAGCTGAAGCTTTTGGAGCTGCCCTCACCCATACGTAAATGTAATATGCACATATACTGAATTTCCAATATACAGCTTTATTTTATATGCACATATATGTAAAACTTATATATGACACCTATTAAAAATTGGAACAATTTCATGTATTGATTATGTATTATCTATCTATCTATCTATCTATCTATCTATCTATCTCTCTCTCTCTCTCTCTCTCTATATATATATATATATATATATATATATACATACAAATATATACATTTATGTATGTATGCTTATATTGTAGATAGATGTAAATATATATCCATCCTAGCCTGTTTGTATATATATGTTGATATTATAAGCAGTAAAGACCACTTTCTTAGAAATGTTGAAAATTAATGAAGAAAAAGAAGAACATATTTAAACAAAGAGATTTTTAACATGTATGTTGTTTAATAAACTTGCATAAATAAATTAAATATATAATGTTAACACATGTTAACACATAATTTTTACATAGAAAACATGTGTTCTATGTAAAAATTCATCACATAGATATTTTTTATATATATACATAGACAAATTTTACTATGAGCATTTCATATAAATAAACGTATATCTTCATATATCCAGAGGATGTATATATGTGATAATAATATATATCCCCTTATAATTGACATATATGGCAACATCAGTCTTGATATAGGGACATATATGTCACACATTACATTTCTGTATGGGAACAGTCCTCTCACCTGAAGATCTGTGAAAGTCTGTATGTAGATCTTAAACATGCTGAGTGTGTGAGGCAGCTTAAATTATCTTATGAGATCAGCAGGAAGTTCAAAAACCAGGAAGAAAAACACTAACCGCCTACGAAAAGAAAGGTTTGCAAGAGTGATGTCTGCCAAAGGTGGGTTGGGCTACCCAGTAAAGTCAGTGAATAAATAAATACATTCACAAATTGTCCTTGTGTATGTAAAAAGAGAGAAAAGGGAAGGGTTTTTGTTTGTGTTTTGTTTTGTTTTGTAGCCACTCAGATTTTTAGATTCTCATATAAAACATGATGTCAGAAAAATTGTAATAAAAAGGTTGTTGAAAAAATAAAAACCAAAGGAAGTGTGACAGATTTAATGAAAATATGAATAATTTTGTTTTTAATGGTTGTCTTTTTTCATGTTACCTTCACTAGCTGGAGTTCAAATGACTAAATCATCTTTTTTCATCCAATTCTTGAGCAGGAAACAGATTGTAGTAACTCACACATGGACAGAAAAGTACATTTTAGTGTGTATAGTAGTTTTATTACTCCCAGTTTTTGGGATTACAGTGGTAGTCTTTAGGGGAACTTTCAGTTTCAACAAGCCTTTCTCTGAGACAACATGAAAAACCAAAAATAACATCTAAAACATCTTCTATATAGAGAAACAAATAGTATGCTCAACATGAACGGACTGTAGTGTTGTTTTAATTCATCCAAACCTGTGTTTAGAGAGTCAACTGGCCAGAGTGTGATTTTTCCCTCCCTCCAATGAACAGGCTTGACTGTAAAGATCAATGCACTGTACTGAGATATTTTTGTTGTTGTTGGACTAGAATCAGCACCATGTTAGCCAGGGACATATCCATTTATATTGATCTGTCAAAATGAAGCAATTTAGGCACTTATCAAGAAATTGGCAAAGGTTATGATGAAACTGCTACTGAAAGAAATTGTATAAGCAAAATACTTTTTTTTAGTTTTATGCTTAATAGTCAGCTAAAGATTGAGCAAAAATCTACTGACAGAACTTTCTTTTTTTGAAATGTTAACATCACATACTGTACACGTTCTAGGCTAACCTTACAGAATATTAAACTAAAACCTAACATAGTCCAACGAGGCTTCACACTGAGCGTAAAGTGATATTAAACAGCACTGAGAAGATACAGATGCTTGGTTTACTTTGCATATTGACTATATACCATGTCGCCACTGCTTGTGCTGTTGTTGACCTCAGGTATAATGACAGATGCAGTGTCTCTATGTGCCTCCGTGAACCACAGTCAGTCGTGCCTGCAGGTCCCCGGGGGCCGGTTTTTACACACTAAAATCTATAATGGACAAACATTTAAAAGTGCTTTACATCAAGGTACCTTCAATACATTCACCTCTACATTATGAAGTCATCTATAATACCACACAGGTAATGAGTGAGCTGCAGTTGATGAGTATTTCCTTTGGCAAAAGTAACGTTTGCTTTTAGCAAAAGATACGGAGTGTGGTGGAGGAGTGTGGGGCTTGAGGAAGAAGAGTTTTCCTAAAAATAAACATTTTAGAAAAAAATTACTTGATACAGAGGAAACACTCTGTAAAATTTGACTCATTTTATTTGTATATAAGCTTAAAGGAATCGTTGTTATTTACTCTCTTGCTGAGATTTAGATGAGAACATTGATACCGCTCTCATACCTCCGAGCCAGTTAGCTTAGCTTAGCACAAAGACTGGAAACAGCTTGCCTGGCTCATTAAACAAACAAAATATATAACATATTAATGTGTTTGTAATTGAGAGATGCTGGTAGGTGTATTTTGTTACTTTTGATTTGTGCCAGGCTAGCTGGTTGCAAGCAGCCGGTTAGCTTAACTTGGTATGAAGACTGGAAACAGTAGAAACTGCTAGCATTACTCTGTCTGAAGGTTAGAAAAAATAATTTTGTGTTAATTCGTACAAAAGAACAGTTTCTGTACGAATTAAACAAATGAGAAATAACATTTTATCTAGTGAGCTTTGAAGGTGCTGGTTGGCAGATTTTTTTTTTAATCTTCAGACAGATCCTAGCTGTTTCCCCCTGCTATGCTAAGATAAGCTAGCTGCTAGCTGTAGCTTCCTATACCATACAGATGAGAGAGTTTATCAATATTCTCATCTAGAAAGTGAATAAGCAAATTTCCCAAAACATCAATACATTCCTTTTTGTTTGTAGTACCATCTCATCTTGTGCTATGAATCATTTTCTAAAAAGCAGGTGTTTTTGATTTTATTCTTTTAAGTTTTTTGGTCTAATTTTTTCAGCAAAACTCTTCAAACCTCGAAGCCAATTCACCAGGAAGAGAAAGTAAAAAAAGACAGGGGGACTACGTAGAGTGAAAACCACAACTAAGAGTGGTGTGTAATCTTCTAACAGTGCCAGGTTATTATTCAGAATCGCATTCACACAGTATTCAGTCTATTGCACATTAGGACGTCTTCATTTAGTGCAGAGGGCCAAAAGGTCAGGGGCCATTTATTTTTTTCTTCTTCAGGGTTAAGACGACGAATCGGCAACAGTCTCTGAAGTTGAGAATCCAAACTTTCTTCGCCGTGGTTAGAAAATGAGATGACCATCACCTCTTCCACTTCATTACAAGGCAGCTGCTCTTGCTTTTTAATATATATATTCTTGATTAATTGTGCTGGCCAAGTGCTTGAAACCAACCTCACCAAATAAAAAAAAACAAAAAAACATGATGGCAGAGGGTGAAACCTGGGCACTCGTACAGTATGTCAAAGGTTAGAAGTCATTTCTAATTATTATTTAATTAGGCTTTTTTCTCAAAAGTCTATAAAACATCAGCAGGATTTTTCTTTTAAAAAGCAGAGTAAAGAAATATTCCCTCGGCAGCCTTGCCTCGAGAAGTTTTTACATAAATAGAAAATTAAAAAAACACGCAAAAGATTAAATAATCGGACAAATGCAACAGTGGAAAGCAGAAGCTTAAATTAAGACAGCAGAATAGAGGAAGTGTGCTGGGGGAAGGTGGGATGGAGGGGGGGGGTTAAAAACGGTTGGCACGAGGGAGAGGGAGAGGGAGGGGGAGGGGGGGGCTGTCCTCTCCTCAGTGTTTCAGTCTCTTAGGTGCTGCTAGTACGGGCCTTTCGTGTGTCCGAAGATCCCGATGGGGAAGTGTTTGACGTGGGAGGACCACTGTGCCGCCAGCTGGAAAAACTTGACGTCGTTCCACTCAACGCCGTCAATCAGCACTGCAGGAGACAAAAGGCAAAACACAACAGGCACTGTTTATTTACATTACAGGACTTTTTTATCCCCCTCAATTAACCGACTGATCATTTAGTCTCTAAAACGGTGACATCTTCAAATTGCTTGTTTTGAACAACCAACAGTCTAAAACCCAAAGACATTCAATTTACAATGATACAAAACACAGAAAAGCAGCAAATATTCACATTTATGAAGCTGGAAATTCTGCTTGTTTGTCACATTTCGCTCAATAAATGACTTAAATAATCAACCAAACATCAAAAAAAGTGTTAGTTAATTTTATGTTGGTTGCCAAATTTGACTTCACTCAATACACTTAAAAACACCAACACACACCAAAACCTGTGTGGACAATATGCTGGTTTACGGTATTGTTTTAAAACTTATATTTGTTATCTTCATCATGATACTTGATCAAGATGTCATGTTATATTGTGTATGAGGGAACTATTTTTTTATTGCAACTTTTACCATTGCAACTGTTGCTACTGTTACTGCCAAGTTGATATAGCGACAGACAAACTGAACAGAAAAACATCAGCGATCTCTCTGAGGACGTCTGGGCCGCTGAGGGAGGGAGGGAAACACCAGGGCAGGAGGTCTGTGTAGAAAATTACCTCTCAGCATGGTCTGCTGGTGCTTGGCAGTGCAGATGAGCCGGCTGATGCCCTCGATCACTTGACTCTTCGACTCCACCTCCTTGTCTTTGCTCTTTTTTGGCAGGAACATGACTGGCAGAAGGGAAGGACAGAGACGCACGCTGCGAGTAAATGAGGGATTCAGAACCTTTTCTGCTCCCTGAGGATTAAGTTGTGATGACATTTGGCCTTTTGGTGCGATGTTTGAGGTCGGACCGGAGAGGAGATCTGATCAGATCACATCCGGTTCTGTGAATGTCCTCTGATGTGATTCATCCACACTTTTTCTCATTTATATCCGTAAATTGCGGCTCAATGACAATGTCCAGATTATATCAACTTTTTAAGAGGTTAATTTTGAGGTGAATTGTCCCTTTAAGGCTCCCACTGTAATCAGAAAATAATACCACAGTGCACAAATCCCAAGAAACAAGCATGTATCATTCCACCTGTATGACACAGGTGTTCATCTTACCCTTCTTATTCTTCTCCTTGGTCACCACTGTCATGGACATGGTGGGCTGGGTGCTCGGCTCAGCGCCCCCCAGTGGCAGCCGGCTGACCTGCAGCGAGCGGAAATTGCACTTGAGAGTGTTTTTGGAGGAGGAGTCCCGCTTCTCCACGTCTTTCTTCCGTTCTGTTGGAGCCACCCAGTAGTCCACCTGAAGCCCCATCAGCTCCGCCTGACCGACGGAGCTACAGAAAACAAGTCAGTAAAGTTAAAGTGGAAGTACTTTTATTTTGAAATTTAAAAAAAATGCATGCCTGAGAGTTAAAGCAGCTGAAACTGAGAATATGTGGAGGAAACAGCACTGTCGCTCAGCAATTACAGAAAAGTCACATTCCCACTCTCATGTATATAAAAAATTAGCTTTTACCTAATTTTCCATTGCATAATATAAATATTTTGGAACAATATATACTGAAAATTGTATCAAAGCTTTATTAGTTTTCCCCCCTGGAAGAAAAATCCAATATCATGTCACATTAATTTCACATTTGATATTATTTATTCATCTATACATGCTTATATTCTTATAACAAAGAAAAAACATTTATTTAAATTTAAAGAAATGTCAAATTTTTGGAAGAACAATCTAGAACTTTTTCTACAACCACTGTATTTTGCTTGCGACACACTAGTTGTGGTTTAGTGCTTCAGGCTTCTAAACAATTTTCATATTAAAACAGTTTGAGGAGGGAAATCACTTTTCAGGTAATACATACTGTATTAAACCTACGACAACAGGCCACAAGTCGACATTGTTCAGTTTTGAGGACACAAGTCAAAAAGGCACCTGTAAGCGCAGAAGCTGGTGGTGACGGAGGGAGAGGAGGGAGGGGTGGGCGACGCCTCTTTGAGTGCAGGGGATATTTGCGGAGGTGTGGAGGAGAGCAGCGAGGAGCCCAGAGGTGCTGCATCATCGGAGTCTCCTGAGGGAGGAAACGGTACAGAAGGTCATTCTAAAACCAGAGAATAAACTAGTTTTTTGAAGATACACAACTCAAATCTTCCATTCAGACAAAAAAAATGCACAAAAAATGAACAATTTGAATCTCCCTCCATTAGTTTTTTTCCCCGTCTTCCCCGTGGTACACACTATGAAGGCATCCTGTTTTAGATTTTTCTTATTATCACGTCTCCCCAAAAACTCACATTTCAGATACGCAAACTGATATCCACATCAAACACAACAACATCCCTACCATCGTTAATTTGGAAACAAGGTCTCCTCAGTCTCACCGCTGACTTCTCCACCGAATACAATAAAATGTCTTCTCAATGACCAACAACACTGACGTGCAGATCATTCAGCACGTTAATCCACACAGTGCAACTCACTAGGCAAAATATGTTTAAAATGAGTGGTGGACAATGAGTTGTTTTATTATTAACATTTTAAAAAACTGAAAATGATAAAATATATATATTATAATATAATATTGGAGGTTATAGGATCAAGGTAAGTTATGACGCTATTAATCATGATCAGGTTTTACCTTTACACCAGTGACTATTTGGACTTGACTGTGCAAATGTGTTTTTGCACAACAGCAGAGCATCTTTTTTCAAATGGATTTCTTACATTAATTGCAAGTGTAAATATTTTCATTAATTACAGTCATAAAGATAATTGATTCAGTTGACTATAGAATTAACCAGGGTGCAGTTATATTGACAAGAATCAAATATCACAGAATTTTTACCTGTAATAATAATATTAATTTAGTGATATTTTGTGGAAGATTATTGATGCTTTGAGAAGATATTGACATTTACTAACGTTACTATGAATGACAGCAATGTAAATACGACCATGCTGATTCATAGATTACATAAACTCAGTTGCCTGGTGCAGCTTTAAGAGTATTAGCAGGATTAACACGATATGCAAACAGTTTCTTTATAAGTCGTATTTCATCTTCTAAATATTAAACATCCATAAACAACCCAAACAATAACTCACCTGAAGTTGCTGACGTCTGCTCCACGAGGCCAACTTTCACCATCTGAAGAATTAGAAAGGGAGGAGAAAAAAACAAACAAACACAAATTTCTAAAAAAAAAAACACAACCTTCGGATAAAACATCAGCGGGACAAAGACTAAACCAAAGCACAGTGAGTTTTTAGGTAAAGGGGGATACTCACCCCGATGAAAGGGATGAATTTCTGACACGAGTCCTCATCAGGGCTGTGGAGAGGCCGTGACGCGGGTGCAGAGGAAAGAAGATGCAACAAAAACAATAAACATTTCATGAAAAAAAGAAAAGCAATTTGAAGTGTTTGTACAAAAGAAAAATCTAATAGAAAGTTACTCCTACAAGAATTTAAAACTACTCTGTGTAAAGTAAAAGGTTATAATTGTAAGAAATGGTAACTAAAGTTAACAACACTAAGATCAACTGTTAGTAACTTGTACATGTTGATGATGCTGATTTCCAGTGTTTCACATCTGGAAATACTACAGTTTCCCATTGCATAGAGAGTATGCAAAGTTATCACAGCGCAAACAGAATCAACAGAGCATGCTGCACTTGCTGCCGGGCTTTAAACCTCCACTCAAATAGATTCACGTTCCCGACTGCAGGCCCCCCTGATTGTAGCAGGAGAAGCGGAGAGAAAACATGCAAAACTATCGGCCTCCGCCACAGCCATCCAATCATTGCAGGGACAAGAGTGGATCTACCAAATTAAAGTCAGAGAGGCATTCAGGAGGCAGCAAGTCCATCAGGGGAACAACTAAACTACTGAACCATAAACAAATGGATGAGCAGGAAGAGCACCAACCTAAATCAAAAAGCCTGTCTGGTTCCATGCACTACCACTAAGCGGTAGTGCATCACTACGCTTACAAGCCTTCTACACTATGAACTATTTTCCTGGCGGTGAGCAGAAAAATAGCCTAGATGGAGTTCTACTGTACTGTATATGTCTATGTTTTCTAAATGTAAAGACGTTTGATGATGTGAAAGGTTGTTGCTCTTGCCTTGAAGAAACCTGCCATCGCCCCCCCAGGGAAGAAACAGAGAGACTACGGAGGAGGGGAGAGAATAGAGAAGACAGTCTACAGTAGGTAACAGTTTGCTTTCCCAGCACAACACAACTCTGCTGTGATCAGTCTCGGAGCAGCCAGAGAGAGAGAGACAGGAAGCCAGATGTCTGCCTGGTATGTGAGCGATTTATGTCCGTCTAGGCCTTGCAAGGATGGAGTATGACAGAACACATGACTTCTGTCTGGTATGTTTAATCCGGCTATTGGCTTAAATGTCAGGTGTAGTCAGATAAAAGATGCACATGCATGTCAATCCATGAAAATGGACATAAAACTATGGACATTACACATGCACTTTTCAGATAAAGGTCAGGGCCCACATTTATCAAACTGTTAAATGTGAAATTTTAGACGTTTACTTCCGATAACAAACTTATTAACAAAGATATTTATCAAATTTCTTACATTTGAAAATACTCTGAGATTTAACAGAGCGCCAAATGTCTCTTAAGAACAGGGTGTACTTCAGAATAGGTTGGTTTTAGTGTTCTTTCTTCACTTGTTTTGAACATTGGATGTTACCAATTGTTTTTTTGTTTTCAATATCAGGTTTATTGTTGTTTGACAAAAAGAAAAAGATGCCAGAGATCCTGCTAGATATTGAATAATGCAAAAAAAAAAAAACTAAGGCTCTCCATCTTCAGGTGGAATAATATTATTAATTTATTCCTCTGGCATACAGGCAAACAAACAGACTCTAGATCTTTATACATGCCGGATGTAGAAGTATGTATTCTACATTAAATGAAAAATATAGTAGTAATCCTGAACAGAATTATTTCACCTGAAGACAGAGATGGTTGTCTGCATTATTCAATATCTATCAAGACTTCTGGGATCTTTGTGCTTCTACCTGTCACGGTAAAGAGCACCTGTCGGATCGGCTGGAGCTGAAACCTTATATTGATTTAGTTCGCAATCACTTTCTATACATCTTAATTCTTCATCTTCATTCTTCTTCATTATGTGGCAGTAAAATCCCCTTTTACAAATTTCTCTGCTGTTCACTGTCTGTAACAGAAATTCTTTCCTCCTCTTCTCCAGTTGGTTTTGTTTCCATTTCAGCCAAATTTAATCTGTAATCATGAATCCCATTTACATACGATAAATAAATTAGACTATTCTAAAGTTCATACATTAAGCATGCATGTGATCAATAATGTGATGACTTGAGAGCTCCTCTTTAAGATTACTCTCACACTATCCATTTATTTAGATTTGCATTCAAGAACATTCCTATTCTTCTCATGATTAATACCAAATTAAACATCTTTATCTTTCCAGAAAGACTCTATAAGTCACTATATGTGACACTTCGTCAAGTAGACGAATAGTACCACGTGCCAAACATTTACTCAGCTCTACTACGCTGTCTGTAATAATCTTAAAACGGGCCCAGTAGTATTGAGGACACTACGGTGGATCATGATTCGTTTAAACCAAATATGTGATTTAAATACATTTATCCTGGTGGTTGAGGGTCATGGTTAATTACAGAAGAAAGAGTTAATGACACTTTGACATTGTTATTTTTGCTGACAATGTGCAGGTTTCCTACATCTAACTGGACAAATAACAGACAGACATGGATGGCCACAAGCACATGGAAATGACTGAGAGGAAACAGCGAGGAGGAAGAAACAAAGAAAAAATCTCCAGAGGGAGCAAAAAGCTGATTGTTTTTGGTCTCCTGCCACTTTATCAGCATATTTTCCCTTCTTCAGACCTTTGGTATCTTATCAGTGAGACGTGTTTGGAGTCGAAACTGAGAAGTGAGTATGATCTCTCTTTGGAATAATAATAGGAATGATGAATATTCAGAGATTGTCTGATAAAATAAAAACAACAAGAGCACACAGATGTTGAGTTGAGTCGAGTTTCTGAGCAGATTAACAATTGTTTATATGCGTCAAAGCACACATTTAGAAGATGTACACCAAACTACTGCATGAAGCTCTTAAAGGAATAGTTCATTTGATATTTTGGAAAATGTTAGCTTAGTTTAGCATAAAGACTAGAAACAAGGAGAAACAACTAGCCTGGCTTGATCAAACGTACCATCTGCCTAACGTCACCTCTAAAGCTCACTAATTAAAATGTTATATCAAGTTTGTTTAATGCATTATCTGTGGAACTATTTGTTGACAGGTAGCAGTGACTCGTTTTGTACAGGTTAAAGAAACAAAATATAACATGTTAATTAATTAGTTTTAGAAGTGCATTTGTATTGGGATTAGTCAGGCTAGCTGTTTCCCCCCCCGTTTAGTTTTTATGTTAAGCTAAGCTAACATGCTAACTGCCGACTGTAGCTTCATATTTACCATACAGACGCGACAGTGGTATTGATGTTCTCATCTAAAATAATTTCCCAAAATGTCGAACTGCTCCTTTAAGAAGTATACATCTTTAAATATTAAGTATTTTTTACTTTTGGTAATCAAAGCAGCACCAGCTAATAAACAAATGCAGAAAGACATGAATTTCACTAGCATGAAACTATGTAACGTGATATTAGCATGGCTGCTTTGTAATCAAAAGTTTTCCAAAAGATGAGAGGCAGGAAATCTAATAGAGTTCAGTTTTGTTTTGATATACTGCCATTTCTGCTGTAGAGTAAATAGTTCATATTTTCCTCTCAAATTTTATGTCACTTCCTTGAGGAAAGAAGTGATCCAACCAAACCACAATTTCTTTTGGACAGAAAAGAAAAGCTAAAGCTCTTGTGTCTCAGCTTATAAAAACTTCTATATAAAAATTTGGCCTGGTGCAGCTTTAATTAGCTCAAGAAATCTTATACTCTGTCTGTGCACTTCTGTTGTTTACAACTCCGAGCTGTGGCTTGGACGGCAGAGATGGATCTTTTGTGGAAAGTTTATAGCTCAGGCTGTTAATAGAAAAAAAAAATACTTTAGAAGCAGCTGTTAAAGTGGCAAGCTACAGCAAAGACTGAGGAGGTTCAAGAAGAAATGGCTCCAACACACAGAAAGCACATGAATCACCAGGCTACGTGAGAAACAAACTCAATCGACCACAATACCTTACTGCAAAATCAAAATGAAAGCTCTTTTTCCTTCAAAGAAAGAAAACATACAACAAAAAGATAAAACATGTTATTCACACACACAGTGATGGAAAGACAGTGATGTTTATTAGACAGACTCCCCCACATCAGACACTGCCACTCCAACTCCAACACACAACCCCCACAACATTAGTGAAACTCTGACCACAGTTTGTTTTTCAAAAGGGGATTCAAAGTAAATGGAAAGTAGAAAATGCAGCAGTTGTGATGCATGCAATTTCACATACTAATACTGAATGTGTTAATCACTCCAAACCGACTGTTCTGCTACCAGCAGCTGGCTTGAGTTGAACATTCTGTTGCTATAGCAACAGCTACTGGCAAAGTTCCATATGCTAGTTAACTGACATTGCTGAATCCGCCATTTTGTCAGGTCTGTGACCAAGCAAATTGACAAACATCATTAATTTTCTTCTTGTTTGAGCATTAGGTGCAGCCATTCCTTTTTATTGCAGCTTTTATGTCATTGTTAATTTGTAAATGCGTGGAGTGTTAGTTACACTAGGCTAGCTAGCTGTCTGCAGCCAATGTGTTGCTAATACAACCTTCTAATGCTGGGCTAACTTTTGTGTGTTTTCTTTTTACTTTTGCTTTTTTTGGACTCTATGTGTATGTTTACAAGATTAATGACTTTGTTCTACTTCTTACAGTCAGACATTTTAGAGTTAGATGAAAAGATTGATATCACTCTTATCATTAAATATGAAGCTACAGCCAACAAACGATTAGCTTAGCTTGGCATAAAGTCAGGGAACAGGGGGAAACAGCTACCCTGGCTCTGGCCAAAGGTAACAAAATCTGCCTACCAGCACCTGGGCTTACTAATTAACTTGCTGTATCTTATTTTCTTAATCTGTATAAAAGTCAATGTGTAAAAATGACAATTTGCCTTTTCACACAGGGTTATGTACCAACCTATTTCTTATCTGAGACCAGCAACTAGCTGGGGTCTCTGCTGATTACATTTGGACATAGCCTGGCTAGCTGTTTTCCTCCGTTTTTGGTCTTTGCACCAAGTTAAGGTAATAAACAGCTGGCTGCAGCGTCATATTTATCAGATAAATCTCTTCTGTATTTCCCAAAATGACAAGTTTTTTTGCTTAATTGTTGATCCTTCATCTGTGATACATTGTTTTCCTGGTTTGAGGGAACTCATTTGACAGCTAGTATTAAATCCAGTTTCCTTCTTACTGTATGAATTCACTTTTATGTCACCTTTGGTCTAACTCTTGTTTACAATATGTTATCTTTTTGTGATTTGTAATCACTATCACTGAATTTGTTGTCCAGTATTGTGTTTAATATTACAAAGGCCAAGGTTAACTTAATGGAAGTGTGTTTAGCTCGCTGCATAGCTGTGCACCACATGCATAACTGAGGCCAGAACACAATGTTTTTTATTTTTTGGTTTGTTTGAAACTCTTGTATTTTGATTTCAAGCAACATGCAATGAATTATTTACTTTATACCTTGTAATTTTGCCTGAATTTGTAAATAATGTTCAAAACAGTGTGAAAAATATTTTTGAAAAGCCAGTTAATTTTTTACAGATCAGTTCAATCCCCTTTTGAAAAACAGGTGAAAGCTCTGCATTAGAAGCATTGTTAGAGGAAACCTTCAGACTTATCTAAATTCAAACTAGGGGTGTCGCGATATACCGGTGTTGAGAATAACCGTGAAATTTAAAAAATGAAATATTGATATTGTGTTAATAATACTCATATGCTAACATTGTTGATTGATGAACATTGAGGGCTGATGTTAGACCTTGTGGAACTTATGTTTATCAGTTCATCTGGTTGTCCTTTGTACAGTTATGTTACAGATTGTCTTACTCCCTAAACTTATTTATTTGCCAAAAAAAGAGACAAAATACTTTATTTTTCAATTTTTCTATAGATATTATAATAATATTGTCATTGTGAATTCTTTTGTCCATGATAATCGTGTTGTGAAAATCTGCTATCGTGACAGCCCTAATTCAAACTTCAGTGTAGCTTCCAAAAACACATTTCAGGTTTCTGTGCATCAGTGTAACTGGTGGTAACAATCAGTAGGAAATCTTCTGGTTCTTTTGTGGTTTGTTATTAAGTGAGAGTGAAATCCTGGGAAAAAAAAAAACATACCTCTTCTGTTTGTAGGTGAGCATGGCCTCTGCGATGGGGAGCTGGTGAGCTCCGTTAGCTCCCAGCATGTACTGAGTTACCCTTGATACCACATCTGGGTTCTCCTGGACTGCACAGGACACAGTAATTAATACTCTTCTCCAAACACTAGAATACATAGTCAGGAACATACAGTATATAATCTCATATCTTTAAGTTGTACATTTATATTTACTATAACTTGGCAGCAAAAGTAACCAGTTGTCATTATAGTAGATGATCTCTAAATACCTCTATAAATTATTTAAAAAAAAATTAAATGTGTTTGTGATTTTAAAAGTAATATGACAAAACAGCCCACCAACAACAGGAGCTTCTGGCTTGTGAAACAGGTCCCTCCAAGCAGCATCTTGGAACAGACTGTTGTATCGATAATCAATAGTGCCGAGATATTTGGAGACTGGATGAGCACCTAAAGACAATCAAAATGCAAAATCAGGCATCACACAGTCAGTTTCTAAGGTGTTGTGTGTGGCATTTCAGCATCGGCATCATTCATTCTGAGATGTTATTGTTACTACTGCACATAAAGAAGCTGAGTATTAGTCTTCTTTAATCGCAGGTTGCTATTTCTGGCATTACATTTTATAGGAAATGACATAATCATATTATTTGTGTTTAAAAAAAAATATGGCACCTTTAAATATTTGAAAAATAACGAAACTGACAAAAAAAAGACAAAAGACAAAAACACAAGAAGAGAAACTTTAGGGTTGGACTGCTGCTAACCTAGAGGGATAATGAGAAACCTCATGTATCCGAGCCAGTCAGGGGTCTTATGGGAAAGATGGTCCACAAACAGCCTCAGAACTGCACTGAGGTAATGCTGCGCTCCGGCCACGGCTATCTTTATGGGGATGGGCGTCTGGGAGTTACAGTTACAACTAGGAGACAAAACAACGAGACATAATCACAACTCACAGAATCTCACAGAAATAACTGTCGCATTTAGTCCAGGGAAACAGGGAAACAGGACTTTACTCAATAAACTGTTCTTATTAATCACCATTTACTCCACTAATCTGCAGCTGAGTGCTTTCGACTGTTGTAAAGTAATTATCTGTTGGTAAAATCAGTGGGGGCATGTGAGAGGCAGACTTACAATCTCTGTATGCGGGAGACGATGGTGTTGAACGCAGCTTGGATGTCTGCTGTGGTGCAGGTGCACACCACTGGTAGATGGTGGTTTTGAAGCATATCTGAAAGATACTGAGAGGAAAAGAAGAAAGAAATGAGTCTCCAGAACTAAAATTGAAATGTGTGTGACTTCATTATAAACATCACATGCTGAAAAGCTCTTCACTAATGTAAAAATAATATATTTTCAAGAGTCTGTAAAACAAAACAAAAAAAAAAGAATAGGCCTAATATATGTCATTTTGGAGTTAACTGGAGTAATCATCGAGCCACAGCTCTCTCAAACGCTCGTTGTTCTTACCTGGCCCTGCCAGTCTGACGTGTTGATGAGGATGATGCTGTCAGGGAGTTGGTTGTCAGACACCAGGATGTGGTTGAGTTGGTCATACACCGTCTTTCTTGGGATCTTGGGAGGGAAAATTAGAAAACTTTGGGTGAAAAGAAGGATCCCTGTTTTTAGGTCTCAACTTTAGATAAAATAAACGAAGATGAATCTTCCAACACTTCAGCTTCAAAACTGAACAAAAGTAGTTTAACCAGTAACCAGAAGATTACCCTTCAAAATGTGATGAGTAGTAGAAAGGCTCAGCTGACTACGGTTTGATGTGAAATGTTTTTGTCCTGCAGCTCTCTCCACCTACCTGTAGGTGGCAGCGTGTGTCCAGGGACCGCTCGTTGTCCAGGCTGTTGGCCCTCTCGTTCTGCGGCCTGCTGGGCTGGCGCTCCTTCAGCGACGTGCTCCTGCCTCGCCTACCTGCCAACTTCGGTTCCTGCCTGAAAACGAAAACAGCAGAGGAAGAGAGACGGAGGACTGGAGTGTTGGAGGCAGAGGAAATAATGTGATCATCAACAACAAGGAGGATAAGCTCTGATCTGTGGGTGATGATTAGAGTTAGACACATTCATCTATAATAAAAGAACTCATTCACTATTTTTTCCATTTTAAAAAACAGTTAGTATTGATTGTTCTCTGTGATTTACGTCATAAATATTCATGTCAGCTTTAAAAAACCACCTTGCAGAAGCACATCAACGATCTAAAGAAGATTATTCTTGCTCATGTTTTTTTTTACCTGTTGGATGAAATGATGAGCGACTCTGTCTTGGTCATTTTGCCACTTGGTGGCAGTCTCTCTAAAAACGTGTCCATGTTGTCCATCTCCAGCTCTGTGGTCGGAGTCACCGCCTCCGGCTGCTCCTGTGGGAAAAACCAAAACAGAGAAAAACAGCAGGGTTTATGAGTTAAGAGCTGACAGATGTGTTTATGCATTTTCCTTTTTCACAACAACAGACTGACCTTTCGGCACCTTCAGAGTCCTGACTGTCTTTGAGGATTTCAGTTGTTCTTAATTATGTTTTAATCTAATTGCTTCTGGGTGTTTATGAGTGTAAACATCCTTTAACAGCTAAAACAACAGAGAGTATACAGGCTAATAACGAATGTGCAGTTTCTGCTCATTTCTCTGTTTTTCCTCAAAATATTGACCTTCATATTAACACTAATACCAGTTATTGATCTCCGGCAGCTTTAAGAGTTCATACTTACAAAGGAGACATTATCAGACACATTATCATCTGGATACTTGGCTCCTCCACACTTGGTTTTATCTGGGTCAATCTGGAATTAGATGGTGAGAGGAATAATAAACATTACATTGGTTTCGATGGGAGTCCCAGCAACTTTTATTTCATAGACACTGAAGCGGTGGTTCATTCAACATCTCGTGACCTGATTGTGAGTTCAACAGAAGTCCCACAGCTTCATAAACAAACTAGTGATCACATTACCTGCAGATTGATGGGAAAATCTGAGTGTGTGTGTGGGGGGGGTGAAATTTGACTCTTATGCTCTCCAGTGAAAGTCGTCCCTGAGCAAGACAATTAAAGCCTTTCTGCTCCAGTGGATTTACTCATCTGCTATCAGTGCAGCCCACTGGTTACACTGGTGTATCTCCATCTGTTTCACTGTGGTATTAGGAACCCAGTTTGTTTAAGTAAATGCAGCAGACGCAGGGCTGTGAGGCAGGCATGTGAGCGGGAACACAAACAAGCTGAAAAATCTCTGATCCCTTTTAAAGTCATTCTTCACAGATTGCTGAAGGAAACCTGCACCCCTGCTGGAGGTATTTAGGACAGCGTTTTACAGTGTGGTGGTGGGGTGACTCTGGTCTCACCGGGCTGGGAGGCTCCCTGTGGCTCCGGCTGCTGTGGATGCTGCCGATCTCAGTTTGAGAGCTGGAGAGGGAGAGACCCTCGAAATATGGCCTGAAACAGACACACACACACAAAAAAAGAGTCAATGAGAGTATCCTCAACTCTTTAAGGGTTTTCCTTTTCCCCAGCGCTGTGTTTGAACAAAAACAACAATCAGTATGTCTCAGTAAGCCGATCTAATTTTGTCCTTTTTGTTTATGAGTATAATGTGCTGCTGCTCTTTTTCAGTTGGTTAAATCCAAAATCAACCGTCCTTCACGAGCCGCCTTCACACATCAAAAGTCAATCTGCGAGTCGAAAGGAGAACTCCTCATCTCGTGAAAACACTCGTATAATGTCTCCTGTTGCTCTGGAGGAGCTTTTCTGAAGTGTGAGGAAATGACTCGAGAGACGTCGCGGCGCAGGCTCGGAGGATGTATATTTCAAACAGAAAGCCAGAGTTAGAAACTGGAGGTGCCGAGTTTGAAAGACTTGAAAGAAAGACGCTATCGCATTGCATCATGGGAAGCTAAAGATCTTGCATTTTTGAAGCTTTACCTACACTAGGACATAAAAGTCAGGATATACCCCGCAGCCTCTGCTCTATTAAATATTAATAGTATATTAATATTAATATTAATATTAAATATCAACACTAAATCGTTGGAGCACTCTTTTGAATCTATTAACAGCTGATATTGTTTTCTCCTTGTCAGTCTGTGTGTGTGTGTGTGTGTGTGTGTGTGTGTGTGTGTGTGTGTGTGTGTGTGTGTGTGTGTGTGTGTGTGTGTGTGTCATCAGGAGAAACTACAGTAGCGGGAACCACCACAGAGTATTTTGGCAGGTGTTTGTCTTTCATCACGGCGATCGTGTCGCAGCCGTGAAAGATGCAGTCATGAAACTTCACAGGTGTGTAGGTGAGATCAAAACAAAGGCAGAGCTCAAAGATGGGTGTGGTCCGACCCAGTGCTCATGTAACTAGAAACCAGCTTGTGATGGGATCACATCAGCTGTTGACCCTCTGACCCATCAGTGCTCTTGTTTATGTCGAACTTTACAGCTGTAAATCTGGTGCTTAGACTCGTCACTACTTTCAGCTAAAGTCCCTTTCAGCAACTTTTAGTCATGTAACTTCAGTCTTATCATCATTATTTGCCCTGAAGCACAACTAATAACATAAATGCTTCACAAACAAAGACGCACACACTCCTCAGTGAGAGTCACTCACTTGAGTTTGGGTTTCGGCGTACTGAGGACGCTGTCATCGTCATCCAGCTCTGGACCGCTGTCACTGGGGTTCTCAAACTCCACACTGTCCAGGTCCAGGTCCTCCTCCTCCACCTCAGGAGGCGGCTCTGCAGGGTCCTGCTCCGAGTCCAGCACCTACACACACACACACACAAACACACACACACACACACACACAGGAACAGCAACACACACAAGCAGAGGCGTTAACATCTGTAGTGGCTCAGTAGCTCCGCAGCAGAGGCACATGGGAAAATGAAATTCCCAGAAGATGCAGCAGCGTCTAGAGAAACACCCACCTCGTCTGAAACTCTGAACCGCTTCAGTAGAGCCACCACTCGCTGCTTAAAGTTCTGCTGCTAAAACACAGGAGAATAAACACACAATCAGCTTGTGGCCTAGTTGCGCTTTACTGCAGTGATCTGACCAATCCAGTGCAGAGGAAAACAGCTGCAGCCGCTGCCGCGCGGGAGCTCCTCAGTTTCAGTAATTTTACCGGCAGTAGATACATTTGCAGCGTTGGCTGCGCATCGATTTTTCTGTTTGTGCTCATGTAAATCAATAATCAAGCAGCATCATGCTTCATCTGCTTTCTGGGGCTTTCATCTCCTGCTGGTGCTCAATCAGCTCGATGACGCGACATCATCCCTGAGCAAAAAATATTCAAACTCATCCTCACTGAAAGGTGTTCGATAATCCTTTTCAGGCACTTGACATTCTGCAAATGAATCACATAAAAGTTGGACTCACTGAGGTGTTAATTGGAAAAACTGGCGTTTATCGCAACTACAGAGCCTGAACTATTATTATTGGTCAGTTTTTCAGCAATTTGTTTGTTTTTAATCCATTAAATTAGAAAAGTAATTTCGAAAAGTGTTTGTTTGATAATAAATATAATCTTTTTCATTAGTAAGCGAGGGCTAGCAGTGCAGCTAACAATTCACAGGTTACATACACACAATAAACAGTGGCGTGCTTCAGGCTGTGATTAAATGAAAGTACTGTTGTTGTTGTTGTTGCTGCTTCTGAAAGAAAATGCGATTCCTGTTAGACTGCCATCTACGAGGCAAGACACAAACACAAATCCGTTACAGTCAATTTAATAAATACTTTATATATCATACTAGATGGATTTATTTACGTTATCCATCTGATAATCTGATTAGACTTGATTTCAGCACCTGCGAGGCACTGCGGCTTTTGTTAGAGCAACTTTAGTTCTGTTTGGTTCTGCACCGGATTCATTCTTCACACAACCTTGACAAATTATACATTGTCTGAAAGCTCCAAGTCTCCTGTGCAAAAGGATCCCCAGATCACCGCAGCAGCTGTTGACACAGAACTGTTTCAAACTTGCGGCTCCAGAGTGTTTTCCACTCACAGGGTCTTACTACAGGCATTACAGACTTTTATAGGCTTTTTCTGGCTTTTTGGTTGTAAAATGTAAATAGTTACATTTCAAACAGACCGGTGTTATGACTGTCATCATAAGGGTTGAAGAACAGTAAGCTTTTTATGTTGGGCACATTATCTCTCGAGCGTGTGCAGAAGAATGGGTGTGTCTGTTAACAGGTTAATGTATAAACTAATATTTCTCCTGAGGTGGATTTGGTTCAGTATTTATGATGAAATATATAAAATGATTTTCAGGCACTATCGTGGATGAGTTAGAAAAAACAAGCTCCTTAAACCGAGGGGACCGGACGAACACTGCTGAAGCGCTGTCCTGTTCACACGCTGCTGCTCAAACCTCGAACATACAGCTGGTCGACAAACCGGATCTACAGTATGTCGTGAATGCAGATGCTTCAACACAGATATCGAGGCCTCGCTGAATGTTCAGATGAGACACACCAAATGAGTGAATCTCTTTTCAGAAGACCGATGTTTACCCGTCCAGTTGAGTTCAACGCATCTGGACAGTCTATGTCGAGGAGCACTGGAGCTGCTCCGGAGGCTTCTGGCGGCCCGACCCCTTACTGAGATACTTTATGTCTTCATCCGTCTGTGTGTAATTTTCTCTGCTGCTCTAGCTGAGAGTATAGATGGATGAGCTTTGCTTTAAAACCCCTGCATGGTTCCCCCCGTCTCTTACTCTGGTGATGGAGGGCGTCCTTACAATCGACCTCCTCTGCATCTTTGTCTTCCTCACACGGTACTCGTCATCCTCCAGATCCTGAAAACACAGAGGAGAGAAGACGAATCTTGATTTGTTTTTAAAAACAGCCTCCCATTAAAAAAATAAAATAAAATAGCCAATGCATTATTTACACTTGTATGTCTTCAAATTATGCAGTGCAAGTACAGACGTTTTATTCCAACCTCATGCCCGAGCTGAGCGCTTAATTATTAACCTGCTTGCCACTGATCAGGGTAACGTAAAGCGATTTGTCCCACGACCCTTGCAGGTCTGTTTCCGGTCGCACTCACCTGTCCCTGCACGGCGTCGTCGCTGGCCTCCGGCTCTGAGGAGAAGCTCTCGTACTCCTCCTCTGAGTAGTTATCTGAAGCAGAGGAGACGTCGGGAGATTAAAGGCGGGAGAGCAGAAGATGCCTCATACATATTTCAGCTACCCCACCCCCCACCCCCCCCCCACTTTTTTTCAGCCAGGCTCTACATATACATGATGTACAGTACACCGAGCTACAGTGGGCTACCTGAATCTCGCTGCTTTTCTGCATGATGAGAGAAAAAAACGCGACACCCTGAGCCCTGAGCCCTGAGCCCCTCCCCCCCCCGAGCACATTAGGTGATTATGATGTTTTCGTGCTGTTTTAACCTCAGAACATCGGGGGGGTGGGGGGGTAATGAGGGAAAAATGTGTACCGGAGCATTTGATCTTCTGTCCTCCCTGCAGCGCTGCCTCCTCGTGGTCTATTGGCTGACTGGACAGGGAAAAGATCCAGATCTCTGCCACCTTCCCCAGCATGTCTTTCTGGTTGCTGCAGAGAGGAAGGACCTGGCCTCCCTCTGTCGGGTGCTGCATCACCTGTGAGAGGTGGAAAAACAGAGAGGGGGGGGGGGGGGGGGGGGGGATGAGTGATCAGAGCTCACTGCTCAGGTCTTCTCATTCTTCATATCGCAAAAACTGTCCAATACAAGAAATATCCACTCCTTTAGAGACATTAACACAGTTAAAAAAAAAATAGCTGTTGTCATGGTACCCTGCATTTCGACGACCACTTTGTGAGTTTTCCAAAATACAGAGAGACGCTCACTTTCTTGCTGATTAGATGAGATGATATTGATGTCCCTCTCAAGTCTTTACAGTAAATATGAAGCTACGGTTAGCAGCCTGTTAGCTTAGCTTCGGATAAAGACTGGAAACAGGGGGAAACAGCTAGCCTAGCTTTGCCAATAAGGTGACAAAATCCTCTAAAGCTCAGTAATTAACTCGCTATATCTCAGTTGTATTATGAAAGTGAAATCAGTGCTTTACTGGGGTAATGTGTCAGGCTGTTTTGTCTTCCTGTAGTCTCTGCTGGTTGGAGGGAAGCTAACAGGCTTTAATGAGCTTTAGAGGTGCTGGGAGGCAGATTTGGTTCCACTGGCTCAGAGCCAGGAGAGTTGTTGCCCCCTGTTTCCAGTCTTTATGCTAAGAAAGGCTAATCATCTCATCCCCTGGCTCCAGCTTCATGTTCACTACAGACGTGAGAGAGACATTCATCTTCTCATTTAAAGAAAGCAAATAAGTTCATTCCCCAAAAATGTTGAACTAGTCCTTCAAATTCATAATGTGAATTAAGGTTTTTGGAACACTTCACTCACATGTGAGAGCAGTTAAATCACCTGTGTTTTGTTTTTCATTCAGTCATTTCAGCGCAGAGGTGGTTCTTCACACTCACACCTGCGTGCTGCCAACTTTAACCACCCACTGTTTTCTGGTGCCAGACACGGACCGAGAGCTGGTTGAGTGCCTTGCCCGGTGGCGCGTTAGTACGAAGAGGAGTGTGTTTTTTTTATTAAACATACGGAGCTAGTCACAAACCTCAGGTCACCTCAGGACAGCGCCGCCCCGAATCTGGAAGAGCCTCGCTGTTCTCGCAGCGTCCTGTGAGACCATGTCGGCCTTGAGCAATTTACACTGGAACTTGTGTGGTATGTTGTGCGAGAGGCTCGCTCTATCCTTCAGCTGAAAATGTAAGAGCCATTTCTTTTTTGTAGTTATGTACAAGTCCTCTTCTTTTTTTTTTTTCTCCTCCCAGGCGCCAAAATGTTTTGTTTTTTTTTTTCTTCTCTCAGCTGCAGAGATGTGACCTTAATAAGCTCCACTGAGCTTTGTCCGCCATATGGGAACTCCTTAGTGTATCAGCATCATCTGCACTGAAAGATATCCATCTGAAGAGAGTCGTATTAGAGGTTTTCTTAAAGCACAAGAAACAATCGGTCTGTGCTGTGAGTTACTTTTATTTTCCTCTAAATATTTCTTAAAACAGGGAGTTTTTATTTTTTTCACTTCTTAAAAGGAAAAGTGTAACAAAGCCGATTTGTGCAGAGGAAAGTGGATTTATCTTTGGTCTTTCAAAAATAAAAGCGTTATTTTCAGACTGATTAGAAGATGAAAGTGATTATTTAAGAAGGCTTTTCTGTGCAGTGTTTGATTTTTAAAGAGCCAGAATTAGAGCCGGATCCCAGGTGAGGATGAGGAGGACAAAGTCGAGCTGCAGCTCCAGCATCCACCATTTTCTCATTATATTTTCACACCGGTCCAGACACTAAGAGCCTGTCGGGGCCGATGTACCTTTCTGCTCCTTCCTGCTCTGAGACGTAGAAACACAACACACACCTTCTACATAGTCCACACACACTAACTAACACAGCCTGTGCCGCGTCGCCCGTCATTAAATCTGGTGTAGACAACGAGAACATGAGTGCAGGTTTGTTGCAGTGCGTACCTCTGCCATGTCAATAGATCCCACTGCCAGAGTCTTGTAGCCCAGGATGGTTCGGTTCTTGTATCTCTTTCGCCGCTGGAGCATGATCTGCAGCTTGTTTCCCTCTCGTTTTAAAAAGTGCGGGTACTGAAGGTGGAGGGAGGAAACAGAAAGAGCAGGGAGGAGGAATTACACTCACATTTTTTTACCTGTAGCGTAAAGAGCAAGTCTGCTGATGTTGTGCGTTTTTTTTTTTTTTATTATTGTCAGCGAATCCCATGAAAAGACCAAAACCAGCAGTGGGTGGGTGTGAGTGGGTTTTTTGATCAGATTTGATTTGATTGACGCTTGACAGGCAACATCAGATACAACCTGCGCTTTGCACCAATACAAGAAAAGATGCGTCTCCACATCCTCAGTACATCAGCAATACAAAAACTTCAACTCTCACTAATATCCAATGTAAGTTTGAACAGTTGCCATGGCAACAAGTGTAATAAAGCTCATCCCACACATTCTTAACTAAAACTGACGACATTCACTTCAGCAACAAAGAACGAAAAACAGGAAACACTGAGCTACAAACTATTCATTAATGATTGATTGTTTGGAAATCAACAACAACAAAACGGCGTCATGGTGATTTCTCCTCTACCTGCAGTGAGAAGTTGAGAGCCAGATCCGTCTCCACAGACCCACTGGGTGGCAGCACTATCTCATGGGACCTCAAGATCCTTTTGGAGCCCTGTAATAAATAGATTAATAAATAGATAAATAAAGAGATAAAAAAAAAAAAGAGTTGTGTTTAATTTAGTTTACAGTCTTCCCCTCTAAGTAATTCTGTATTTCTGCTGCTGTTATTCACTGTGCAGCAAAGGTGCAGGGCATACATTATTCAGCAGGATTCAACACATTTTAAAACACCCTGCCAGGGCTTTTTTTTTTAATGTTTTAGCACTTTTTTTTTTTTTTTTTTACAAATCTCATGTTCCTTACAGGGTGTTACAATTTCACAAAGTCTTTTTTTTTTTTTCCTATTTTCTGCTCAGCAACTGGTTGAATTACTGTCAAAGTTAAATTATGGCTGCATGAGAACGTGCTTTTCTCTGACATAAATAGAAGCAAACATGATGTTCAGTACACTGGAATATATCTCAAACAAGTCTGTGCAAGTTAATGTTTGCACCGTGTGACGTGAACCGAAACCAAAGGCTGCCTCGAAGGTGGAAAACAATATGACAGAAAATGAAATAATGACAAAAATATGGACTGAAAAAATGGCCTGTATTTTTCCCTCCATCAGGGACTGAGATATACTGTATACGTCTTTACTTACTTTACTACATCAGGACAGGTGTTTGTGTGTAACAGCTTCATACGTGCCTGCTTTGTCGTGTCTGTTTATATAACATACCTGGATTTTAACCGCTATGACCACAGAAATCAGCTCTTTATCGAGTTCCCTCATCACAACCAGCTTCTTCAGAGTCAGACTGCACAATCTGCAGAGAGAGACAGAGAGATAGATGGAGAGTGAGCAAGAGAAAATTTTTTTAGTTTAGCGCTGCCGGCATGTTTTTCTTAATAAGCACAAACAGATGAGTCATTCACGGAAAAGGCCGGATCATGTATTTATTAAACAGCAACAAGTAAACCTTTCACACGTAAACACAAACAGTGTTCGACCAGATTTCATTCTCAGGGAATCAACAGGTTTCATGTGTGAAAATCTTCAACGCTACATTCTCACACTTTACTGTACGGCAGGTGTTAATGTGATGCTCTTATGCTGAGCAGGTTACAATGTGTGAGCAGTTTTATACAAACATACAAATATATATATTTCACAGGAACCTGACAGATTGTCTTGGCTGATACTGTCGGTGAAGAAGAAGAAGAAGAAGAAGATGAAGAAGAAGAAAATGCAGTGCAAGAAGAAAGTAAAAGAAGATGAAGAACAACAAGTGTGTTTTATAAAATGAGAAAAAAAATTAAAACAAATCCCCACCATCATTAAATAAAGCTCCACCGAATAAAAGCACAGTGAATAAGATTCAATAAAATACCTCAAATACTTCATACAGTATGTCTAAACCTGTGTCCCTGTGCTAACTGCTCCGTTATCTCTCTTGCTAAATACAATATGCTAAATACAAACAGTTCTCTCACTGAAAAACATTTTGGATGAGTCATCCTGAGCTCAGGCAGCGTAACATTAATTTATCCAATCAAGCAACTTGGTTGTAGCAGCCAGCAGGGAGACAACATAGTAGGCAGCATGGACCTTAATACATCACATACACATCACTTACACCTTCATACTGAAGTCATTCCCTCTTTTGAGCGATCCAATCAAATCCCTCTCATAACTCTACCTCTACCCAGATATTCTGTCTTTTCATATATCTCAAGGAGAGAAAGCAAATGAGCTGATTTCACAAAATGTTGGACGTATTCCTTTAAAGGCGCTCTGAAGACTCAAAACTCAAGTTATGTTGACACTCAATGTTACTCACCAAAAGACATTGTGTGTATCCTTGAAGAGGCTATTTCTAAGTTTTCAAGACGAGAGGTGATAATCCGCCCTGCGAGCAGCGCTACGTCTTCAGCTACAGTGAGTTGCTATCGGAAAGTGACGAGACGGGCCGGGGCTAGCTGGTTAGCATGCTAACATCAGTAGATGAAGAAAGACGTGATAGAGACAAGCGTTAACTTTGGCGTCGCCCTCCACCTCTGGAGACAACTCCTGGTGAGTAAAGGAATGAAGTTTGATGCTGAACTCACAACGTTTTTTTCGAGACTGGCTAGTAAACAGCTGTTAATGCTAACGCTGGCGATGTAGCAATAGCAACGCTTACAACTAGCTTCTTCGAGGTCTAACAAAAGCGTTTATTTCCCCATAAAACCTTTGCAAAGTTTTTTGGGTTGTTTTTTAGATCTGCATTGTTTACTATAGAAAGCGGTTTTCTTCTTCACTGCCATTGCTGCGTATCTTGGTGAATTACTGTCACCTGTGGGTCGGTCGAACAGTGTGACCTTAACCCACTCACAACCGTACATACAGTGGTGCTACTAGAGGTCAAAAACTGCCTTTAAATAACAAATACTGGCCAATATACCAAATTCTCCGGCAGTGATTTCAGCACACAGTGTTCGAGCTACATGAGAAAAGTAATCAATCAAACATGTGACCTTTCAGAGAGTGGGATAACTTAACTGCCGCCACAACCTCATCTAAAACAGTTTTTCTGCTGGAGGGAGAACTGGCTGAAGTTCACAGGAACGTTTCAAAATTCCCACACTTGTTAGTCCGACTGAATGTGAACCGAGGGTGTCGCGGCACACTGAGCTCAATCCTGCACCACTTTGTCTGAGTCGTCCAGCAGACGGGTCTCTGCCAGCGGAGCAGAATAGTGACAGTGAAGCAGGATGGTGGTGGGGCAGCCGGGGGGGTGGGGGCATTGTTAGGGTATTAGGAGCAAGGGGGGGGGGCATGGTGCTTTAACAAGCCCGTCACGATTTTTTGAGACACTTCCTCACCAGACAAAAGTGAAAAAAGAAAAGTTTTTTTTTTAAGGAGCTTTTCTTTTCAGGCACTGTTTGGTTCCTTTCATGAAATCATTCAGAGGAGCAGCTCAGAACAGGCTGGCTGCTCACAATGTGGAGGCCGATCATTTATCATCCTGCTTCTCCTTTTTCTTTTTTCCTGCAAAATTAAACAGTGTTAATGGTGCTGCTGGTTGGAGTGACATCACTGCTAAATTATTCTGGGGCATAAAAAACAAAACAAAAAACAAAACATGGCATTGAATGTCGTCCAGCAGCAGGAACGGGATATTCAACAGCAGCGATGGTTTATTGTCACACAGAGTAAAAAGAGATGTGGGTCAAAACTGCCATGGGTGACAGAGGGTGAGTGGAGAAAGCCCGGGGAGGCGACATTAATACACCAATATCCACTGTCGTTTAGTGTAAAGACTGAGGAGTTGACCTTGGATGTAATCTAACTATCTCCTGTCTGATTCTTCTATTTTGGGAACAGGAGGTAAAACACTGACGAGTTAGGTGAGGCGGCAAACAAAAGAGGACGGCAAAGAGAACAGTCCAAAACCACACAGTTTGCTGAGTGACATAACGCTGCGTATCAATCAGACCAGGAAAACACTGGGATGGAGAGAGAAGCAGCGATGACAATGGCAGGTTTTGAAGAGGCACCCCCCCCAGCAGCAGCAGCAGCAGCAGCAATGCAGCAGCAAGACTGAAATGAAGACCTTTCTCTTCTTCAGCTGAGACACGACCCAAGAAATTCCAGGCACAATGGACACAAGCCAGTGAAGGGCTCACATTGTCTCTTCAGCCTGCTCTCTCACACACTCACACACTCACACACACACTCTCACACACACACAATACGCAGCATTCTTGTTCTCCCGTTTTTGTATTAGACCAAGTTTCCATCACTTTCAAAACCCACAACACTCTCCATGTCGGTTATGCTTTGTGGCTGGATGATGATTTCTGCCACACAGGCTGCTCTGCTACAAAAGTCACATTTAGCTTTTGGGGTTTTTTTAGATTTGATTTTTTTTTTTTTCTCCCAGATCCCTCACAATGGACTTATCTTGCAGTGTGCGCTCTAGGAGCTAATCTGCCCGCAGGAGCAGCACAGAAATGCTATTTCTAATGCAACAGCACTTAATTTAAGAGGATCTGCGGTGACCCATTTCTCATTAGTTCGTGGCCTGAAAATTCTGAACAGAAAACAGACACAAGCAGAAATTAAATGGAGGATATTTCCTCCTCTCTGGACAAATTGTTCTGACATTTGTGACGTTTTTTGGTGGTTGAGTTTCTGCGAAAGACCGTTTTAGTTGCTGGAAATTCACACCCACCTCGACCGAAACAGGCTGTTTAGAGTTCATTAATATGATTATGTTATTCATAACTGTATTGCTGGCCTCGCCTCCTCCAATGACACATCAAATCTAAAACATCATTATCCTACTTCCAGACTACAGCTGGACCACACTGGGTGTTTGAGGCTCATACTGATATTGATATTCTGGACTGCTGTGATTTTTGATCGTGTGTAATATTATTGTTGTAATTGTACTGTTCACCTGACCGACCAGCACCTGAGCGCTAACATTGGTTGTGCATGGGGAGTTTGAAAAGTCTGCAACAAACTAAATATTTTGGCTGATAGGAACCTCCTTAAACATTAAGATTAACACATATTATAAACAAATAATCTTGATACAGATTCCCATACACACACTAATACCAATATGTCTGCAGTAAGCTGATATTGGCAGATTTACGGGCCCGGGACCTTGTTCCAACTCGTCTCATGACCTCTGAATCCTGACCCACATCTCCAGTATTTTTCAGCGATTCAGACGCTGCAGGTCTCGTGCGACACAAACTGATGGCAGTTTCCCCAGATGGTGACACAAACCGAGCCAATCAGGGCTTTGTGGGCAAAATTAAAAGACTTTTTGTGCCAGAGCAAGATAAAAATAGCCTCTGAAAAAGCAAGTAACAACAAATAACAACCCCTAAATCTGAATATGTGTTTGATCAGTATGAAAAGTATGAAGTTAACTGTTTCCTAGCAACCTGATGCAGTGATGACATACATCACATTTACCTGTATACAAAGTAGGGGTGGAAATTCTGTCATTTTGGTGATTTATTTGTGACATTATGGCAGGTGCTACTTCAGTCTTTCACTTTGTTGCTGGATCAGATTCAGTTTGTTTCGAAATTGAGCCTTTGAAATGTTAATCGGTGTTTTTTTCTGTGGATTTCGATGGGGAAGCTCCAATTGTAAAAGCTCCCGAAACCTGCTCAGCAACACTGATGTTTCAGTTCGAGGACTCGGTAAAGTTTTCTTTATTCAGACCCTGAACTGGAAAAGTTATTTGCAGTTTTTTCCAGCTGTGACATCACACTGGGTTCATCTTAGTTTGTTTGAATGATGCAACCTGATCACGTGGAGTAGTACCAGCTTCCTGCTTTAATCTCTGACAGCAGAATCCACTCTAAGACTCGACAGTTCTGGTTTCCCATGATGCCCCCACTCTACTCAATATGTTTAGTATGCAGCACTTTGGCCTGGACAACCTCTCTGTTCCTGCTTTGATGCACACAGAGCTAAACATGAGAAGAATACGGCCAAGTCCTGAGGTTTCACTCAACAGCTGCTGCCTTCTTCACTCTGAACCGACGTCGAGGACACACTCACTGCCACCAGCTATGATGCGTGTGCGCACACCCAGCTTCTGTCTGCGTGTTCAGTGACACACATTCAACACGCAGAAAAGCACACAGCTGCTGTTTTGGCGCTGCAGCAAAGAAACCTGTTCCCTGTCCTGTCCCCTCTCTGCAGCCCCACAGGGACTCCAGCCTGCTTAAACACCCGGCCCGCCGCCTGTAGCGTGGCCCTGCCAAAATCCCAATCCAGCGGCCAGCTCAGCACAGATGCTCTGGCAAAGGCCGG